AATTCATTTTAATGTATTTTACATAAATTGCATTACTTCACATGTGTCAAGTTTTTCATTGTACTCACTAGTTTGTCACCAACTTCAGTTCTGTGTCGACTCCGACACAGAACTCCGACACAAAAACAACTTTTTGTTGTTTTTGTTTTAAATAATATGTTTTTTGTTTCTTGAGAAGCATTTGTCTGTAAAATTAGTAAGTAAAGTAAAAGTATATTTATTTATTTTTGTCAGATGGTGATGACAAAGTTCTGGGTCAGGTCGATTAAAAATGTAATTTTTAAAAAAATGTTGCAACTGGGAGCCTGCACCTTAGCATCTTTACATTTCCTAAACATTATTTGTCATATTTGCATACATAAGGTTGAGAAATAATTTAAAAAAATGGGAAAATTAAAACCCATTTTGTCCCTATTCTCAAGAATCACTGGTATGCACAAAGTTTGCCAGTTGCCTGCCTGGCGGAGGCAAAGTTCCACAGGAAATAAATGGCGGCGGAGTGATGTCGCTCCCTGGGTGTCGAGCCCTTAAGCTTGGACTTCTTGATTTTTAGAGTATTATTAGTGGTTAACAAGAGGAGCTATTTAGTTCATGCATAGAATTAATAATGTGAAATGTGAGTGATGTATTGCTGGTAATTGTTACCTAGTTTGACATAAGCATGGCAGATATCTGAGCCTTCACTGTTGGAAATTTCGCCCGTGCATCTCCCACGAGCTTCTTCTCCGTCGCTGTTGAGAACTTCCAGCACACAGCTGCAGTCTGTGGTCTTGACATTGAACTGATAAGAAGCCCAGATCAGTCGCCCATCTTTCCTCCAGGTCATGCGTACCCTCGGACTACTAACGAAGGCAACTCTAAGTGCCATTGGTTGTCCCACTCTGAATGTGGTGTTTTCTAGCTTCCTGATGAAGTGAGCAGCTTCTATGAGAGGCAGTGATGAGCGTTAGAAGGAAAGATGATGGGGACCAAGCCAAAGTTAGAATTACAATTCAAGCATTAATTAAAATGCATGAATTAAAATTAAGTAATGAAATTAATTCAAACTTGGATTAAATGAAGGACTAAGTAAAGGCAAACCACCACCCAAGACCAGCTTCTACTCTACCAGTTTCTGTTGTGCAACCTACTACTGCAAAAGACATTAGATTTGTTTCAGGAGAAGAGATTCATTCTTTTTATTACATTCAGCATGCAGACTGGTAGCTTTACCAAATTAAATGACAAATCTAACCTATATTATCAAAAAAAGGGTTATTTAAGGTCTGTGCACAAAAGCCAGAATGTGAGCTAAAAAATACTTTACAAATGAGTTAAATTATTATTGTAATTTTAACTTTGACATTTGACACAATATTGCCAAAAGTATTTTTTCACGCATAAAAATCTTTGCATTCCAGTGTTCCAATTATGTCCATGGCCAAAGGTGTAAAATAAAGTTTCTAGGCATGCAGACCTAGACGCTTTAAACAAACGAATGAGTCACTCTCAGAAACTCAATAAGTTTTAGTATGATGCTGTACTAGGATGCCACATGTGGAATAAGAGCAATCATGAAATGTGCTAGCCACTAAGTATTCCACAGTCAAGTGGGATTTTATTATCAGAACATGGAAGTGATTAGAAATAATATCAATTTAGCCATAAATTTGTGGGCCACATTAAATATTTAAAAAGTGAGGTCAATGGATGAAATGGCATCATAGCGTAAAGAGCTTGTTATCTTTTAATCAATAGCTACACACCTCCAAAAATTATGTGACCGCCATGCTATGCATCCTTTCTGCAATTTCTAAATTCCCCTCAAGATCTAAATTACACCAAATCCATCCAACAGCATCTACTAGAACAGAGCTGATCTTGGAGTAGGACACAATGTCTGCCTTTTTAGCATTAGCAGTTATATGATGTTTCTAATTAGTGTTTTGGATTAGATGAGATGAAGTTATACCTTTTTTAGATGTTTTACAAATGATATGAGCATCACAGACAGCACAGCTCTCAGCATTAGAAACTTGACAAACGTAGAGTCCAGCTGCCTCTTCTCTGTCACTGTTGAGGACTTCCAGAACACAAGATGAATCTGTGGTTTTGACACTGTGTTTGTATGAGGCCCAGATTTGCATGCCATCCTTCGTCCAGCTCACGTGGACCTGCTGATTCCCAGTGTATGTGCACGTCAGAGTCAGCCTATCTCCCAGACTGTATGAAGTGTCTTCTAACTTCTAGCTGGAGAAGTTGGTCGTTTTAATGTTGTATTTATATGAAGCCCAGATAGGTTTGCCATCCTTCATCCAGCTGACATAAATCCTCTGACTGCCCGTGAATGTGCACTCCAGCGTCAAAGAGTGGCCAATTCTATAGAAGGTGTTTCTCAGCTTTTTCACAAACCGAACAGGTTCTAAGAAATCAGTAAGCGATGGAAGTGTTAGATGACGATAAGATAATTAGTCTTTGAAGCAAGCTGGTTACATGACAGACTACGAAGAAGACACAAATGGATTTGTTATTCCTGCAAAGAAATATGCATGTGAGTGAATTAAGAGTTTACCTAATTTCACATTAGCATGGCAGACATCGCTTCCTCCTGCATTAGAAATTTCACATGTGTATCTTCCCACAGCTTCTACTCGGTCACTGTTGAGGACTTCCAAGATGCATGTATCATAAGAAGTCTTGACGTTGTACTTGTATGAGGCCCATATTAACATGTCATCTTTTTTCCAGGTCACATGTATTCTCTGACTCCCAGTGTATGTGCACTTCAGGGTCAAAGGCTCCCGGAGTCTGAAATACGTGTCTTCCAGCTTGTTCACAAAGCGAGGGGGTTCTGAGAGGGGTAATGTTTGGGTTAGTTGTGTGGAGTATGCAAGCAGACAGGATGAAAGAAGTAGTTTGAATCAGTTAAGATTATTGAATTACTCTTTGAAGAGCACAAAAACCCTCTTGAGCTACCGTAGCTGGAGGAGTTAGTTAAATTAAGTGAAACCGGAAATGTTAACAGTTTTTGACTTTACCTAGGCTGACATGAGCGTGGCAAACATCACTCCCAGCTCCATTAGAAATCTCACAAGTGTACATTCCTGCTGCTTCAGGCCTGTCACTGTTCAGAACCTCCAGAATGCAGGTAGAGTCGGTGGTTTTAACGTTGTACTGATAAGAGGCCCAGATCAGCTTGTTGTCCTTTTTCCACGACACATACACCCTCGGGCTCCCAGTGTATGTACAGACTAGCTTCAGCGGCTGCCCAACCACGAAAGTTGTGTCTTCCAACTTCTTGACAAAGCACACAGGCTCTAAGAAAGGCAATGATGATTTAAGAAATTTGTTCAAAATACCATATATTTTGTTTCTTTCTCAGAGTATTTATCCCAAGAAAGGTGTTTTTCTTTTAAGTCACCTTTACTACATTCACTTTGAGCATTAGAAAGATTTTTTTTAATGCAAAACTATTATAATCTGGAAAATGGAGCATAAAATGCGAGCATCACCTTTCACTGTCACTCTGCAAGTGGCAGAGGCTGAACCGACCCGGTTCTCAGCCTTGCAGGTGTATTCACCATCATCAGACTTAGCTGTCTTGACCAGATTCAAAGAGGCAATACCATTTGAGAAATCCATGGAGCAAATGGGGGATTTCCTCAGCTTTCCACCAGCCTTAAACCAAGCTACTGAGATATCAGGACTTCCTGCAATACGACATTTCAGGGTAACTGCATTACCCATTGTTACCTCCACTGGCTCCATCTGATCGACAAAGTATGGCCGCTCTAAATGAAAGATGAGGATGATGGTTTTAGTACAAATGTAAAGGTGCAAATTAATATCTTAAAGAATGAGATAATTAGAGATTGATAGAGAATAGGTATGAAAGAGGAAGCTAAAGAACTAAACTCATAACATGCAAGAGTTCCTTGGTTTTTACCTAGAATTGAAATGTGTGCTTCACATTTGTCAGTTCCTACTCCGTTGTCTACTTCACAAGAGTATGTGCCAGCTGCCTCCATTCTGTCAGAGTTAAGAATCTCTAGGATGCAGGAGGTGTCTGTGGTGATCACCGTGTACTCATTTGAGGCCCAGATGAGTTTCCCATCCTTCTTCCAGGTCACATTTACCCTGGGTGTTCCTGAGAAAGTGACCTCAAGCCTCAGAGGCTTACCCTTCTCAGAAGAAATATCTCTCAGCTTCTTCACAAAGTGGACTGGCTCTAAGGGAGGTAATTCCAAGAATCAGTTACACCAAAGTCACCTTCAAATGCAGATGCTTAGAAGAGTTTCATGCTGACAAACCTTTCACAAAAAGATGGAGAGGGCAGCTTTCCTTTCCTGCGTTGTTTATGACCTGGCATGTGTACTCTCCTGCATGGGATCTATCAACTCTATGAAGAACCAATGTGGCCACATCAGCCTTAAATGAGATCTCACAGCCTCTTCCATGTTGCATTTCTTTGGCTCCCCTGAACCACTTGACTTGCAGCGGGGCACTGCCTTTTACTTTAGCTAAGAAAGTTACATTTTTGCCAGGCAAGATTTCTTTGGGTTCAGGAGTTTCCAAAAATGAAGGAGGTTCTGGTTTAAGATAAAAAAAAGATTGGTTGTGGGATAGGTAATAGGTTTCCATAACAATCTGATTCCATCCTTAAAGGCTGCTGGTCTGTACTAACCTGTCACATTAAATGAGGCACTGGTCTCACTGGCTCCTGCAGCATTCACTGCTTTACAGGTGTATTTGCCAGAATCAGACATGCTGACAGTTGAAATTCGCAGTCTGTATTTATTATCTGTGGAGCTGATGTCATAGGAGGGACTACTCTTGATCTCCCTGCCATTATGGAACCAGGAAATTGTTAAAGGAGAAGATCCAGAAGCTTTGCACTCCATCTCACCAGGCCTTCCCACAACAAAGTGGGTATCATTCAGCTTCTTTATGAAACTTGGAGGAATCAACTTATCTGTAGTCAAAGAACATGTCATGAGCCACTTTTTTGAACTACCTGTTGGATACATTTTCTCATAGGATAAAGAGAGCATCTCCATAAAGTTCACCGACCTGAGACTGAGAGCTTGATTTTACAAGAAGCTGTACCAATGTGATTTGCAACCTCTAGTTTATATTCTCCGGCATCCGCTTTGTCAGCAGAACGGATCTTCAGAACAGCAATTTTCTTTGTGAAAGATGTCTGATATTTGGCACCAGAACTGAGGGCTTTGTTGTCCTTGAACCATTTTGTTTTTAGTTCTGGTGAACCAGACACTGTTACTTCAATAGAAGCATTTTCTCCTGATGTGATACTCATGGATTCTGGACTATCCACAATGGCAGCAGGTTCTAAAGTTGTGGAAAGAAAACTTTAGAGCTAATGGTATAATGGCATTGTAGTAAAATTGTGTGTAAAGTTCTACAAACCTAAAACAGTAACTTGGGAGACTGACTCCACCAGTCCTGAGTCGTTACTCAGCTGGCAGGTGTATCTACCAGCTGTTGCTGAGTCAGCTTCTGGAACTACAAGAGTGGCTACGTTGTTCTCAAAGGTTATCTTCCTGTTATCACTGTCTCTAAGGACATGGTCCTTGTCCTGGATCCAGGACACAGTCAAAGGCTCAGAGCCTTTCACTGTGGCTGTCAGTGTCAGTTGCTGGCCGATTCTTACGGACTGATCGATGAGTTTTGTGACAAACGCTGGTCGTTCTGAACATTAAAAAAAGATCACAGGTGAAGAGAAATGATCCTCTGTAAATTGAGTTTGAGAAATTGTCCACTGATTTGGTACAAACCTTTTAGATTGATAGTAGTGTGACAGAACTCACTTCCTACATTGTTTGACACCTTGCACTCATACAGGCCAACATCATTCTGCTCAAGTTTCATGACATGAAGAGTAGCAGAGTTGCCCACACTAACAATCTTATGTTTCCAACTCTCTTTTATGGGCCTTTTGTCTTTGTACCAGTTAACCTGGAAAGGTGGAGTGCCATACATCTCACAGTAAAGACTGGCATCTTTCCCTTGAATTCCCTCCACTGGGTTGGGAGTTTTAGTAAAGGATGGAGACTCTGGAAAATATGTTTTGATACGTTAAGAGAATTTATCTTCATGAACAGGCAAACCATTATGACAAGCAGTTTATCCAAGCACTGGGTTCAATTTCATGATCAGGCTTATGGGAAAGTTCAGTCCATGCTGGAGGAATCCTTCCTGGTCTTTACAAAAACAATCCTTTATGGTAAGGCAACACTTAAATAATGTTCATGCTACTGTATGATCACACCGTAGCTTCCCCTTTAGACAAAAAAGAGAATTTAATGTAATTAAAAAGGGATGTACCCAAGATCATTTCACCAAAACTGAGAAAAAGCATGTCAGTGACCATGGAGATCTCTCAGACTCATGCTATATGACACATGGAAGGTTTGACGGTTTCCATGCTGGCATTTTCATACTTGGTTCTAAAGACATTCATGATACACTCAAACAAAATTTGCATCACATGACATTCATTCCTTCTCTTTCATGCTTCTGAACTTCAGAGGGGACAAATCCACAGTGTAACATATCACCAAGAAATCCGTTCGATAGCTGACCTTGAACTGTGAGAGTGGTGCTGCAGCTTGCGCTGCCAGCATCATTATGAACCTCACATGTGTAGACTCCATTATCCTCGAGCCTTGCAGAGTGTAGCTGGAGGTATGCAGTCGAATCAACGAACATGGCTTCATAATTGCCTCCGTCACTTATCTTTTGGTCATTTTTGTACCAGCACATTTTCAAGGAGCGTGCGCTGTTGGTCTTGCATTCTAAACGGAGTCCCTCACACTGCTTCACAAAGGTTGTGGGAGGCAGTTTCACGATAAACCGAGGAGGCTCTGTGAAGTCAAAAAAAGATTTGGTTACTTTTGCCAACATAAAGCAACACTCGAGGACCTTTGGGATGGATGCTGGATGCAGGCATGTGACTGAATGCTGCGATGGGAGGAAGGCGATCTCAAAGACAACACAAATATCGCTGGGAGACGATAAATGGCTAAGAATGAAGACAGAGGAGCGGTAAAAATGATGAAAAAAGATGGGTTACATGAAAGATGTTGCTGGACAAAAAAAGAATAGTCCAACCTTTAACCAACAACTCTGCTGCGTTTGTCACTGTGCCAGCTTCATTGCTAACTTGGCAAGAATAAACTCCACTTTGCATGGCCTCGACTGAGTTGAGCTCCAATGAAGAAGAGTATTTCTCTAAACTGATTGTACACGAGGATCCAGCAACGAGTTTGATGCCATCCTTAAACCATTCCACTGTAAATGGGGGAGTCCCTTCAAAGACTCCTCTGAAGGTCACCGTTGACTGTGGAATAACCGTTTGAGGCTTGATGTCCACCAGAAATCTCGGTGGCACTAAAACCCATACAGAGAAGTTATTATGACACCTATAACGAAGACTACTTTTTAAAGAATAATATTAAATCTGAAAGCTAACCTTTAGCTGTAAGAATTCCACTGCATACACAGCTGCCAGCTTCATTTGCGACTTTACAGGAATACTCTCCTGTGTCGCGACCTTCAGTCAGTTTTAGCTCCAGGGAAACTGTGCTTCCAATGTGCACAAGTTTGTACTTAGAACTCTTGGTGATCCTTTGTTTTCCTTTGTGCCACTCGACAACAAATGGAAGAGAGCCTGACAGTTTGCACTCCATCGTGACCACCGAACCCATCACTGCTTGGATGTTTGATAATTTCTTAACAAATGTGGGAGGAGTCACAGCATCTGTTTCAAATAAATTTGGTCTATAATTAGTTGTGTATCTATGAAGATTTACCCAAGACCACTGTCAACTTTGCAGCATTAAATTAACTTAGAAGACCCACATGGCTCTCTTCCAGCTGAAAGGACTGAATTTTACATGGACTGAGGTAGTTCTCATAGACAACCAGATGATTTCTGACTGAAGATTTCTACCATCTTTGAGCAATTTGACACTTACCTGTGAAGCTCAAGGAGACTGGATTTAATATTAATCCCTTAAGCTGTCTTTGGTACCTCTGCTTCTATATGTCCTTACAGTGGATTTATAACCCAGGAGCAGTGAGATGAGTGTAGGTTCAAGCTTAAGCAGAAAAACCTTGTGCATAATTAGCATAGTTAGTGGGACAGGATTTATTCTACTTGGCCTTATTTACATAATGACATATTTCACTTCACAAGTCAAAACAGCAGCAAAAAACTTTAAGAGCTTCTTCTCACTGACATACTTAGTCTTGAAATTCCTTTTGCGAGCAAATGAATATCCAACAAAAGAACTAAAAGAGATTCCTCCACAGAAAACCAAGATAGGAGGTTCTCCCAAAGCAGGGACCAAAAAGAGAGAGAAATTATATTTGTAATGTAAAATGACCCATGATGCAGTATTTCTACTGTCAAAAATAACCTGAACATACTTATGCTACTGAACCAAAACAGCTTCCACACACAAAAAGTAGGAATTATCTACAACACTAGCTTACAAGATTAGATCAAACCCTTCAACCGTAACTTCAGCCACTATCAGATGCACTAACTGAACTATTTTGTGGGATAACATACCAGCAAAACAACATATAGTATTTGACATGCAAACTTGAGCTTCAGCTAAAAGAGTAACCATGTATACTTCTGCATAATCAGAAACCTTTGTTACTATGAGTTCAACAAAAACTGAGTCTTTAGTTTAAATAAAAATCATAGGACTTGAGAACAGAAGAAATAAAAGCAGGATAATCACCAGAGCATAAAGAAAAAACCCAGTGGAAAAATGAGATAATTCTCTTTTGCTTCTAAATTCAAGGTGTTGCATTTAAATAAATAACATTCAGAATCATAGAACATTTTATGCTGTAATCCACTGGGTGATCAGTGGTGGCGTATATGAAATCACAGCATAAAACAGTCATTGTTGATAAATTCTGTTAAAACCAAACAAAACAAAACATTGCAATTGAAAAACAAAATCTTAATCCAAAAGTACAAAACAAGTCCATCCTTAACTGGTCTATATGCAATAGATTCAAAGCAGATTGAGTTCCTGAATTTCTGATCTGATATCAAACTAAATACTATTCCCAAAAAGCCTCATAGATGTTCATCCAAGCCTCACTGGGTAACCAACACTTACACGCACAGACTTTAGCTCTACGACACCAACACAGGACACAGCTGAAGCCACTGTGTTAATGAAGCTTAAAGCTGAACATTTAAGCAAAGAGTTAAGATGAGATTTTCAAACAAATGTGACAAACCTGTCACCGTGACCATGGCGGTACATCTCTGAGTCCCAACTTTGTTCTCAGCCTCACACACATATTTCCCACTGTGAGATAACTGGGCATTTTTCAAATTCAACTCAGCACTGTTGGTTTCAGAGGACATCTTAACGTGCTCATCTTCAGTGAGCTCGTGACCATCCTTGTGCCATCGGAAGGTCATGGGAAGTGCTCCAGAACACATGCATTTCAAAGAGATTTCAGAGCCCACCATGCAGGACATGTCCTGTGGTCTTTCAATAAATGATGGTGGTTCTAGTGAAAGAAGACCACAAGTGAGACTGAAGAATCTAGGCTGAAGCTAAACCTTGTTAATTCTCTGATCTAAACAACGCATAAAGAAAACAGTTTTCTGGAAACCTGGAAAATAAGCAAATAAATCACCTGACATTTCATCATACACAAAGCTTTCCATGAAACTGAGAAACATGCAGCAGACAACTCAGGGTAACAGCACAAGACATTCGTTTGACTAACCTTTCAAAGAAACCTGGCAAGAACAAGTAGTCTCCCCAGCATCATTTGCAACCGTGCAGCGGTACGTCCCATCATCCCTGCTGTCACAGTCAGATATCTGAAGAGTGACTGTGTCTTTTTGAACACGGATCTGATGTTTTTTGTTGCTTCTGATCAGCTTATCATTGAGGAAGCAACTTATTTCAAATGGCGGGGAACCTGAAACGGTTCCTGTCAGGACAATGTCAGATCCCTTCACAAACTCAGCTGATTCAAAAGGCTTTATAAACACCGGAGGCTCTATGAGAAAGATAATAAAAGTAACATTCAACAATAATGTCTGAAAGGAAAGCTTCATCTGATGAGGCAAATCTGGTCCACAGAATCCATCAAGGTACTTTTTGCTAAAAACATCTTCCAGCACCATTCAGAACACTTACCTTCCTTTATTTTATACTTTACTTTGGCTTTTAGCTTGCTATTAACTCTACAGAACCATTTGCTGTCATGTTTTCATGTCTACACTGGCAGTTCTACTCATAGGTTGTTACGTATATTAACATTCACACTGGAGTTAATGCATTCATCCAACAAAAGAAAACTAAGGATTGAAAGATGGAACAATGTGGACCAGACAGCAGGATCAGTTTGTAGAGGACAGCTTCTTAGGACAGCACTAACCTTTGACGGTTACTGAGCAGCTGCATTGATCTCTCCCGGCCTCACTAGAAGCCAAACACACATACTCCCCACTGTCTTCTATACAGCAGTTCTCCACCTCCAGAGAGGCTACTGAGCTCTCAAAGGACATCAAGTGTTTGTGGTCAGAAATGATTTCAGAGCCATTTTTCATCCATGTGACGGAAATTACAGGAGTTCCCTGTACTTTGCAGGACAGTTTCAGAGGCTGTCCAGCTTTTAGGAGCCGTGAAGGCTCAAGCTTCATTGTGAACGTGGGAGCTTCTGTAAATTACACAAAAGCAGTTACAGTAAACTTTGAAAAATGGTTAGTGGTAGGAAGGAAACAAGTTGGCAGATGAAAGATGGAAGCAGAACCTTTCACGAAGAGGATGGCGGTGCAATCCACTTTCCCGGCATCATTTGAAACTTGGCAGGTATATTTAGCAGATTCACTGGGTTTTACAGAATAAAGCTCTAAAGAGCTTGAGGAGACGTCCTTTTTTATGATACACTTTCCTGCAGAGAAAATCTCTTTCTCCTCTCTGAACCATTTAACCACCAGTGGAGCAGACCCAGTGAAGGCTGCTTTTATCACAACGTTCGTTCCTGGTGCAACATCCTGCGACTCGGGTTTTACTGTGAAAGCTGGAGGTTCTGTAAAACAACATTCATGTTTTAAGCCTATCAATAACCTTTGCTCAGTTGTATCTGTTGTTAATTTCCTAGTAGACCTAAAACATCGAAACTTCTCTAACCTTTGACTGTCAGTGTTCCACTGGTCTCATTTTCTCCGGCCTTGTTTGAAGCCCGGCACGTATAAACTCCTCCATCGCTTTGATCAAGATGTGTAATTGTCACAGAGGCTGCACTTTCACTGAAATCAAGCTTGTATTTATCATCACTGTGAATTTCTTTGTCGTCTTTGAACCAAGAAACAACCATTGGCTGTGATCCAGCAACTCTGCACTCCAAGGTAGCATTACTACCAATACTTCCATCCATCTTTTTTAGAGTTTTAGTGAAGGATGGAGGAACCGCACGATCTGTGTGGAAGGACAAGCCAAACACGGAACTGTGACAAAAGGTCTGTTTTTGAGTTTAAATAATTATGTATTTCTGACTGAAACTAACCTATAACTGTGACTGAGCATGTGCACTCGTCTTTTCCGACTTTATTGGACACCTCCATCTTGTACTCTGACGTGTCTCCTCTATCTGCTGAAAGTATCTTCAGAACAGCGGTGTTCTCCTTCAGAGTCATCTTATATTTACGACCGCTAATCATCTCTTTGCCATCTTTGAACCATCTGACTTTGAGCTCAGGGCTCCCAGAGATGCTGCACTCAAGCGTAGCCGGTTCACCAACTGTAACACTGATGGACGCTGCTTTCTCTACGATCTTAGCCGGTTCTAAAACACAACACAAGCTTTAGGCTTTATAAACTAACACAGATTAACTGGGAGAATAGCTAGTAAATACAAGTGAGTTCTAACCTTGAATGGTGAGAACAGCCTCGCATTTCTGCTGCCCTGCCTCGTTTTCAGCAATGCAAGTATACTTGCCACCATGTTTTATCCCAACAGAGGTGAAGGAAATGCAAGGAATGTTGTTCTCAAATGTTGTTGTGACACTGGAGTCATCATCTATTAGCAGCTTAGAGTCTTTCAGCCATTTTATAGAAATTGGAGCTGAGCCTTTCACTACTCCTTGTAGTTTCACCGTATTTCCCAACAACACTGTAGAGCTCTCAATCCTCTTTGAGAAGATAGGTGGCTCTGAAATGGCATCAATTATAATAAACTTTAATAGCTACTGAGGAACCTAGAGTCAAAATCATGCTGATGTTTTTTTTTTAAACTAACCTTTCTGTTTAACCACCGAGTTAGAGGTCACTGAGCCGACCTCATTTGAAACAACACATTCATATTCACCGGCATCAGCGCTCTCAAATGTGTGAATCTCCAGAGAGGTCAGTGATCCTTGTGACACTACTCTGTACTTTTTATCTGAGGACAAGCGTTTCTTGTTCTTTTTCCAAGTTACTTCAAATGGTGCAGAACCTGCAATCTCGCAATCCAACACAGCTACTGATCCTCTCACTGCTTCTATGGAGGGTGCATCTTTAATGAACGATGGAGGTTCTAATGGGGAACGAACAGTTTGGTAAAGACAAATGTATATGCCATATTGTATTTTAAATAAAAAATAATTTCAAATGCTGCACACCTTTAACTGTCACTTTGGTGCTGCAGCTCTCACAGCCTGACTCGTTCAGAACCTCACAGCTGTAGCTCCCACTGTCACTCAACGTAACATTGTTTATCTCAAGAGTGGCGACACCGTCCTTAAAGCTGGCAGCGTATCTGCCACCACTGGACAGCTCACTGTTATTGAAGAACCAGGTGGTGTGAAGCTCGGGGGATCCTTTGACGGTGCATTGCAGCCGAGCCGTGCTACCTCGCTTCCAAACTGTTGTACCCTCCAGTCTCTTTACAAAGACTGGTGGCTCTGCAGGGGTATGGTTAGTCAGATCCGTTATATGGAGTTGAAGATGTAGTTTAAAAACAAGAAACCAGCATTGAAAACAAAGCTAATTAAGATGAGAAGAACAATCTAGTTCACATGAGACACCAAGAGCATAAAAAACTAAGTTTTTCTTGTTGGTTTTCTGAAGGTTTCAAGCACTAAAAAACTGGAATATAAATAACTTACCTTGTACTTTGACAGAAGTGGAACAAGAAGCACTTCCAGCATCATTTGCCACCATACACACATAATTCCCACAATCTTTCAGTGTGGTTTTTAGTATATCAAGATTTACTGTCTTATTCTCAAAAGACAGTTTACAGTCTGGAGATTGGTGGACTTTCCTACCATCTCTGGTCCAGGTAACGGTGACTCCTGTGTCCTCATCCACCTGACATTCCAGGTGAAGAGGAGCTCCCACCACGGCAGCAACCGAACCCAGGGGCTTTACGAAGTTGGGCTTATCAACAACACGCAGCTCCATGCTGCACTCAGCCATCCCAATGTTATTAGATGCCCTGCACACATATAGCCCACGGTCCGCTGCCTCAAGCGTTTTGATCTCAAGAGTGTGCTTATTCTTTTCACAAAAGGTTTGGTAGTGTTCTGACACAGAGGGCAGAACCTGGTGGTCTTTTAGCCACACAACATTTAGAGGAGCAGATCCTCCTATTACACACTGTATGAGTGCCCTCTTTCCAACATACAGAGTCTGGTTGTCAGGTTTAGTTTGAAAAACTGGAGGAAGTTTCTCTACAAAGATTAAGAATGAAAAGATGTTAGTGGTAAAATGTCATACTGTGTAGTAGAACCATGAAAATCAAGAGGGGGGGAAAAGTATAAAAGTACAAAAACAAATCTGTTTAGCTCAAAATATGGACAAACTCCTGGAAAGGCCCAAAGTCAAAAACCAAAAAAGGAGGAAACATGCATTGTTCTTACCCGTCACACTGAGAGAAGCAGAGCATTCATCACTGCCATGTTGATTGGATGCCTTGCAGGTATACTCCCCGCTGTCATCCTTCGATGGGCTCAGAATTTCCAGGGAGGAAGCAGTGAAGCGACTGATAATCCTGTATTTATCACCCTCTTTGATGGGGTGGCCATCTTTGAACCACTTGAAGTTCACATTTGGAGCATCCTCTGTGTCACATTCAAATCTGGCAGAGTTGCCGACATTGATCTCCAGAGGAACAATTCTGTGTTTGAACACAGGTTTCACTGTGTTTTGGGGAGAGAAATGAAAAAGAAATGACAAAGTGAGTAAAGCAGTCTGAATGGATTTTTCTGAACAGTTGAGCTGTAGTAGCCCTGGAATGAAGAGTGACTCAAATAAATGAATCCAGTGATGACTGTGGAGGAGGAAAGTTGTCTCAGGGTTAGGTTGAGGGAAAAAAAGGTATGCATGCAAGGAATGGACCAAGGATGAGGAATGGCAGGTGCTGAATGACATGGAAGGTAATTCCTAGAAGGAAAGAGGGATGGATGTGAGGATGGAATGTTTATGGAGAAGTGCAGATGGGAGACAGGAAATGTGAGGATAGTTCTGGTCTCTGATTAAAACCTCAAACTTCCAAATTTAAATGATTTTTTTATATATATATATGGAGGTCTAGAGACAGCAGAACGTGATATAAGCTAATGTGTGAAGTTAGTTGATGATGATAACAAAGAACTGTCCATCATCAAACCTTTTGAGACCACAGTGAGCCTTGAAGATGTTGTAGTCCTGCCGACTTCATTCTCAGCCTCACAGACATATTCTCCTTGATGCCTCTCCTTGACAACTTTGTTGACAATTAGTGTGTATGTGTCACGGTCTTCAGAACACTTGAACTCTGTACCAGATTTCACTAGCTGGCCATTGAAAAACCAGTTAACCTTGGTGGCGTACTTGATAGTAGTGGTAAAAACAGCTTTATCATTTATTTCAGCACAAACATCCTCCAGAGACTCAATAACAACAGGATGATCAATATGGCTGTCAGAGGACTCACTGATTAGAATGGCCTCTGAAAGATACTCCTCTCTGGTTTCTCTGTGAACAAAAGTGTCCACATGCTCTACAGCGGACAAGGTGGTTACTTCAGTAATGTCCCTCTCTGATGTAAACTCTGTCCGACTCACTTTCCTGGATTCATGGGTCTCAGTGTGGCTCTCAATTGTTGCACTTTGGAAAGAACCCATCAATTCAGTTCTGACTTCTGCAGAATGAGATGCTTCTGGAGGAAACCCAACAACACTCTCTGCCACCACCACTGAGTCCATCATGGTTGACAACATCTCTTTAGAGGGTACTGAGCTGACCTGAGCCTTCTGAGGTCTGTCAATTGGCAAGATGCCTTGCTGTTCTGATGAAAGACTTTGCTGCTCCTGGAAAACCATAGCTTGTAGAGCTACCTGCAGCTCAGACTTAAGATCAGCTTTCTGAGGATATTCTCCTTGGAAGGACAGTGTGATCTCCAGTGGGACACCAGGCGATGTGATCAGATATGTGAAAGTGGTCCGTCTGGGCTCTCGTTGAACTTTGACCTCCTGTATCTCCACTGTTTCTAACTTCCCCACCACTTCTGCTAGTAAGATTGGTTGGTCACTGGCCACAGCAGACTGAAGAGCTTCTCTCAGCTGACGCCGAATAGTCATACTTGATGGTTTTGGGATATTAAGAACAAAGTTGAGTTCTTTCGGTAGAGCATGAGCGCCATGAGACTCATGAATAAAAACAACACCTTTAGGTTGTGTCTTAACACTGACAGTGGAAGCTTCTGGTTTATGTATCTCACTTGATTGTTCTACCAGAAGGACCCGCTTTTCCTCTAACAACACAGACTGCCGGACTGATTGTCCCTCCTGGATCTGCATCGCAAAATCCTGCTCAGCAGCCTCTAAGATGGCGCACCTTTCAGTTGCAACTGCCTTTTCTTCTATGAAGACAGGTCTCTTTGGGATCTTTGGTTCAACTTTTGATTCAGGCTTGAATTTCTCATCAGTGTGAAGACTGGCAGTGTGACCCTCCTCTAAAACCTGAGTGTCTGTGATGCTCAAGGACTGCATAATATTCCTCTGATCCTCTCTCTGAACTAATGCTCGCTGCTGTCTGAAGCTTTCAGTGAAAGGGGTCTCCTTTGGAAGGCGCAGGGGCTGGGAGGACACACCAAGAATGTTTGGAGGTATAGATTCGGTCTTATACTGTGCCTTAATCCCACCCACAGATACATTGAGGTCTTTATGATGCTCTGCTATGATCTCTCTGTGTGTCTCCGAGGATGCAGCATGGCTTCGAGCCCGCTCCTGTTTTGGTAATGCCACCTGCTGATCAGGTTCAGCAAAGGCAATGATGCCTTCCTTTGGTAAAACTGATACAGAATGGCTCGACTGGAGGTATCTTGGCTGTGGTTGCTCTTTCTTTGGCTGAACAGATGCATAGTCGGGTTCTGTTGTGAACACTGAACTTGCCTCACATACCACAGTCCTCTGTTCTTCTTGAGTCACTGAATACAGCAAAGTTGGATTCTTAGAGATGTCTGCCAGCTCCATTGGGGGCTTTTCACTGCCGAGTCTTCCCTCAGACTCTAAAACACCCTGATCAGTGATAACTTGCAAATTTAAAACTTGTTTATCCTCACAACTAGTCTGCAGACATGTCGGAGTCTGTAGAGGTGCCACCTGTACTGTCTGTTCACCCTGAACCTGATATTTCTCCTCAGTTACTATGGCAGATTTACATATCTTATCTTTACTTGGCTGGATGCTTTCTTGCTCCGGTATCTGAGTTTCATATCTCTGCTCTTTAGATAGAGCCACCCTGGTTTCACTCACTGCTGCTAGTACTGGTTTAGATTGTTCTTTTTCAATTTGTGGTTTAACGGCAGGCTCTAAAGCTAACAGAGCCTCAGAGTGTGTTTCTGTAAGCAACAACTGCTCAGCAGATTGAGCAGAGTATAAAATCTTAACCCCCTCTTGGACTCTAAAACTTCTCTCCTCCTCTGGTCGCTCCACAGCATCTGACACATCAGCAAGAATGGGTAAAGCAGATTCGACTTGGTAGCTGCCGACAAGCTGCTTGGGCTCAGTTGTGGTCTGCATGTGCTCTGGAGTCCGGTCCGTCAAAGGCTCAGCTCTCACAGTGGTCAGGGAAAGGACCTCCTCAGATGTAGCTGACATGATTTTAGATTGTTGTTCTTTTGAGAACTGCAGTTCAACTACCTCAGGACTCAGGATTCTCTCTGAGTGCTGCTCTGTTATCTTCTGTCTCTCCTGGACTGAAGATAAGAATGAGGCCTTGGGAAGTTGCTTTGTAGGAACAGCCAAGACCTCTGGGGGATGGGCTGGAGTCAAGGAAACACTCTCATGAATTTCATGAGAGTGCAGAAGGGCAGCTTGGTGGGTCAGTTGCTCTTTTTGAAGTGTAGCAGCAGAGATATTCAGCTCTTGGAGGGTTTCCACCTCCTCGCTAGGAATAATCTGCCGGTCTTCAGTGCTAATGGTATAAATCATCTGATCAGACCGGCTTCTTTCATGGTACACCCGAGACTCTGTGCTTTGCTCGGTTAGTGATATCTTCAAGCCTTTAGTTTTTTGAATGAACTGGTGCTCTTCTTGAGATTTTTCATTAAATACCAGCAGCTCAGCACTACAAGAATCTTCCCCATATGGGTTGAATGCCTTACATGTGTAGATACCACTATGTTCTTGTTTAACACTCACGATACTGAAAAAGCCTGATCCATCTGGGTTGTTCACCATCATGTTAAAGCCAGCAGGCTCAATATGGATGCTTCCTTTGAACCACTGAACATCAGGGAGAGGCTCTCCAGTCAACACATACCTGAAAAAACACTGCCCACCCTCTGATAACTGAACTGACTCTATAGCTTTCATGAACTTTGGAGGTTGACCAGTTGCTGCAGGTGCTTTGTCATCAACCCTTTTCTCCCCTTCTGGTTCCTTTAACTGAACATGAAGATAAGAAGAGCAAGTCGACTGGCCAAATCTGTTGCTGACTGTGCAGGAGTACTCTCCCTCAAATTCTCGTTGAACTTTGTTAATAACTAAACTGTACTCATCTTGTTCATGAATAAATGTATAAACTGATGAACTGGTTATTGTCTGCCCATTGTGGAACCATTGAACAGTGGGCTTTGGGAATCCGGACACTTTGACAGTAAAGGCAAAAGTTTCTCCAACAGCTGCAGCTGCTGGAGAAAGTTTGCTAAGGAAAACAGGTTTTTCTTTTTTCCTCTCCAAAGAGCTGGAGAAGCGCTTAGTTTCTGGTTTGAGTTCAAGTGTTCTGGTTTTGTCGGGTAATTTTAAGCCAGTGTAGTATGACTCCTGGGTTTCCTCTTCCACTGTGAACGTTGAGCTGGAAAAGGCTGAGTGGAGTAATGACAGTTGAAGGTAAATCACACATCCCAGCATCAATCAGCTCAAGTGAAATCACAGTGTTTTAGTTTTTTTTTTCCATTTACATACGAGTTGTATTTGACTTCAGGATGAGATGCTGATGTACTACAAATGTAACATTTAAACAAGCCAACACTAAACACTATCTTTGTTCAAAAATGCTGGCCAGTAAAATCATAAAAAAACATAGTATGTTCTGTCAAAGAAATCACAAGATTTTAAAAATAAATTCACACTGATGGAGACAATTTGCATTAAATTTAAATTAAAAAAACAGCAAAACTACCATATCAAAACAGTCATTTCTAGCATAGACAACACATTGAAATACACAATAGTTAAGATATAGTAAAGATAATTCAACACTACTATACATAAATATATAGAAGTTTGAAGCAGTATTTACCTTTAACTTCCTCCTTTACCACTGGTTCCTTCTCCACTTCGGTTACTGTGAAGACACAGATTGTTTACAGTTAAAGACATTTTTATAGCTGAAATCAAAGCACAAGGAGGTTAGAAACTGTGAAGAGTCGTGCAGCCATATGATCCATTTGGTTTGTTTCTTTGACCTGTTCTTTCATGCCTCCATTTGTTCTTTTTAGTGGGTGGCACATCTGTCTTCTTGGTAAAGTTTTGTGGTTTTGTGATTGTCCCTCTTCATATCTCTACTAATGATTTAGTCAAAATGCAAGACACAGAGTCAGAGACCTTGCCTAAACATTGTTAAAGACGTAGAAGACAAATTGCCCTGTGAAGAAGTGTGTTCATGATGGCTGTGCGGGTGGAAAACCATGTGCATGAGTGCGGGCCACAGAAAGTCAGAGTGAGCAGAAGGACCAAAAGCATGCAAATGCCAACCTTTCATCACTGTGCTGCACTCAGCATCCCCAGCTGAGGTTAGATTTTTGAAATAGTGAGAGCCCCCTGGTCTGGCTCCCACATTATTAGCATTTACACAGCAAAAAGAGCTGTCTTGTTTCAGAGAGTACCAAACAGAATCCTTGACATTCATACGGTTGTAAAGCCAAATGACAAATGAAGTGGGAAGGCCCTTCATAATGCAGTACAGGGAGTTACTGTCTTTGTTTTGGATCAGCAACTCAGGGGGGAGTTTGATCAGAAACTCTGGGTTGTTGGAGAGGCGATGACTCCGCTCATCTTGAGGCATGACATCTGGGAAATACAACTGGCTGATGAGGTGGTACGGTCTCTGGGAGGATTTGGGCAAAGATTGGAGCTTCGTCTTGGACTCCTGCTTCTCTTGCTCAGAAAGATCTCTAGAGCTTTCTCTTTCTGGTTGAGACACTTTACGAACAGAATCGGTGGGGATGGGGGTCTCTGCTTTGAGGTTTGCTTCTTTAGCTGAGTGAGAATAAAGTTAGGGAGAGTAATTAGGGGTCAGAGAGTAAAAGACTATGGCTATAATCAATAAAAGGTTAGTAGGATGGAGAATGAGATTAGTGAGGTGAAGCCGATATGGTGGGAGGGAGCAAAACTACACTACAGAGGTTGTTATTACATTATTCTAACAGATTATAAACTAGGAGGCAATATTACGTTATGAAAAGGGGGTCCGAAGCAGGGAGAGCAGATGGAGAAGTGAAATGGACCAGTTGGAAATCACAATAAAGAAAGATTAACCACCTTCAACTGTGAGCCTGGCAGAAGAACTGTTTTGACCGTGTTGGTTGGTGGCTGTGCAGCAGTACATTCCCTGATCGGCCATGTCGACACTGTGGATGACCAGAGACAACAGGCCCCCACTCTGAGAGCTCCTTACCCGGTCCGTGTCCACCAAGTTCTGACCGTTATGATCCCATACCACTCCAGTGAAGGGCTGCCCATCGAACGAGCAGCTGAACTCAGCCATCTCACCACTTTTCACTCTGATGTCGCTCATTTCCATCAGCAGCTGGGGGCTGGCTGAGAGTTTCAAATCAAAGCGGCTGTGAGAGCTCGTCTCCACTGAGGTTACACTCTCCATCTGAATCTCAAACGTCCTCAAAGACATGGAGGAAGCTTCAGAGACAACCTCGGAAAACTCAAAACTGTGGGTTGTTTGACCCATTGACAGAGAGCTGAAACTCTCTGTCTGAGCCTCCAGTGTCTGAGTTATTTTAGTCTCAGAACTCGACACACTATCTAAGGCTTTTTCATCTGGGCAGTAAGAAAGAATAGAAGAATTAGGTCAACACAGCACAATTCCGGTGATTTTTCCTGGTTATTTGTTTGCCAAAGTGCAGTTGGGTTGGAGTGTTGAGGATCAGTCAGGCTCAGTGAAGACTGGACAGTGGCTGTTTTCCACAGTCAATCATGCAAACTTGACAGGAGCCAAAATTTATGAAACAGATGTGGATTATGTCCGTGAGTGTAAGGAATCCGAAAAGCTGAACTTCCACAGTCCAGCTGTTTCGACCATGCTGATTTACTCTGAAACAAAGATTTGTGTCTCAACAAACACTGTTAGGAGCTGCAGAAGTAGGAAGAGACATCATCATGCGGCACAGCAGAAAATCCTGGAGGATAAGGCTTATAGCAAGAAATAGGTCAAACCAAAGCTACTGAGTTCTCTACATGCACAGAGAATAAGGCATTTCCTCCCAAATGTCATCAAGATACCACTAAAACTATGTCTAAATACAGGTTCTGGAAGCTACAATATCCAAGAAGATGATCATTTTATTGGCTATTGAAGCTAAAAATGAGAGCAGCTCTGTGAGGACCTGGCAGGTGGATGTCATGCTTCCTTAAATTAGCGTCTGAAGACCATGCAGTAAGTGGTGCCTTCACTCACACTGTTTTATTTTAAAAACACTGCATGCCAGTTGATATTATTTCAAACTCACCATCAAGGTTCAAAGTGGCAGAACATGTGACCATTCCTGCTATGTTTGTGGCAATGCAGGAATACTCTCCCTCATGTGAAGGGAGGACTCTGGAAATCTCCAGCAGGCAGATTTCATCCAAATGAGACATCCTGAAGATGTCAGACTGACGGATCTCTTTGTCCTTACAGAACCAAGAAATCTGCAGATCTGGGGACACAGTGTTCAAGAAAGTCAGCATCACCTGACGTGTTTAGAATCAGCCCTGATAATCCCAGAGGTTAGCAGATCCAACACTAGTTTGATTTATCAACCAGGGGGAGCTGATGAGAGGTGAATACCTTCCCCAGAGACAGTGCACTTCAGCTGGGCAGGCTGTCCCTCTGAGACCAGAACGTCCTTCATGGGAGTGATCAGAACCGGAGGAGAAATCCGAACCGTTTCAGTCACTTCAGGAACTGAAAGATAACGTGTTCAGTTTACTGACAAGCTAAAGATGACTTTTTTCTGCTCATCCACAGTGATTATCTCAATGTTTTCTATGTACTGAATAATTTAATTGAATTTTTTTTATTTAACATGCTTAGGGGGAAAAATCTCTCAAGACAACATTGAATGGTGTAATATTCTATCAAATAAACTTCATTGCACTAACTATGAAGTTTAAAACAAGGTAATAAAACCTTAAAGAAACATGATCCTTTCTTCTAATTTATGAAGAATTTAATGCTGCTATTTTCTTTTAGTTAAATAAATGTTCACTTAATTAATTAAATCCCTGAATTAATTAAAATAATTATCTCGAATAATAAGACAATTATTCTAAGCAATTATTTTGCCTAGAATATTTTTCTTTTCCTTTTATAAGAGGAATAAAAATAAAAAGCTAAAAAAATGAACACTTTGATGCTTCACCATAAGCTACGTCTGACCTTCCACAGTGAGAGGGGCGGAGCTTGTTGCCTCTCCGTAGTCGTTCTTGGCCTCGCAGCTGTAGACGGCTGCGTCCTCGGGGAAGACCTCCAGCAGCAGTAGTGTGTGCTCGTCTCCGTCGTGGAGGAACTTGCATTTGTAGCTTGTGGAGAGAAGCTGGGAGTCTTTGTACCAGGTCACCTGAGGCTGAGGAAGGCCGCTCACCTGCGCCGAGAAGCGCACAGACCGACCCGACATCACCGTTTGGGCCTGCATGTGGCGTACGATCTGAGGCGGCTCTGGCACTGGGCATAGAAAACCAAACATTCAGTTACAAAAGCAGAGCCGAATTTGTGCAAATACCTTTTATATTCAATAAAAATAATATTTTTCCTTTGAGCATCACTCAACAATAAACTACTGATGAGCAACATTCTCTCTAGCCCAGATGGTAAATAGTTCTTAAATGTTTTTGCAGTAAATAAGGAATACATTTGTTCTGGAAAAATGTGTCAAACTGCTGACTGAAGGATCTCTTACATCTCACATGAAGGTTCATGGTGCTGCGGTTTTTGCCAGCGATGAAGGTGTACTCTCCAGCATCGCTCCTGAACGTCTCAGAGATAGTGAGGCGATGCAGCTTCCTGATGGTGGCGTAGTTGAACCTCTCTTCCTCTGTGAAGTGGATCTCTGCTCCATTCCTCAGCCAGTGACCCTCCACTTCATCCTCGTTTACCTCAAACTCAAACGTTGCTCTTTGTTTCTCCACCACCTGCAGAAACAGATGATCTCCTCAGCCTCATACATGAAACTAAGAAACTGTTCAAGAAGCAGAATCAAAACTCAGATTGGGTTGAAGCTCCACATATCAGGAACTCACTGTAATGTCTCTGCTTTCAGGTTCAGAGATTTTAACATCTCGTCCCTCGACTCCCAGGTGTCCAACAGACATGCTCGACCCGGCTACAGCCGTGTACTCGCCGGCGTCAGACATGCGGACAGACGGCAGAACCAGACGATGCGCAAAGTTGTCTGAGGTCATTTTGTACCTGCAGGAGAATAAATAAAGAAAAGCCAGAAGTTGTTGATAATGTTGGAAAAATATCTAAAATGTTCTTTCATTTAAATGAGAACTTTTATTTACCTGTCAGACATCTCCAGCTCCTGGCCGTCCTTCATCCACATCACCTGGACGTTCGGCTCAGAAACTTCACACTCAAAGGTCGCCCTCTTCTTCTCTGTGATCTTCAGGTCCTTCAGGTGTTTAGTGAATTCAATCACACGAGCTGCAGGATATAAATATCACACTTTAAACACAAGTAATAACTGTTACCAAGTTGTTAGGGTCTTTCTGTTGTTTTTTGGTGTTTCTGAGAGTTGGACAGTTAAGAAGTATTCGATAACCACAGTTGCAGACATTTCCTCATCTTACCCTCCACATAGAGTTTAGCTGTAGTAGCTGCGGACCCGGCCGTGAAGGTGTACTCGGCGCTGTCTCCAAAGTGGACGTTCCTGAGGCTCAGAGTGTGATTGAACTGTTTGCAGCGAGCCTGGCATCTGTCTGTGGATTTGATCTCCACGCCGTTCTTGAGCCATTTGTAAGTGATTCCCTCGTAGTTGACGTTCACCTCAAATGTGACGGTGTCCTTCTCCTGAGCATTCAGGTCCTCCAGCATTGTTGTGATCAGAATAGCTGGAAAGAAAGAGTCCTGGGGTTACGTTCAGGAATTCCTTCACCCTTAGAGAAAAAAACTGAAGAAAAGATTTTACACTCCAATCATTTAGATGAGGATGCTTATAGGGACAGAGGCAACAGTTTTTAAGAAGAACTCTTTTACAAAATTGTTTCTCTGGATCTTACGGTTGACAGTGAGCGTTGCTGACACTTTGTCGTTCCCACAGACGAAGGTGTACTCTGCAGAGTCGTCCCTGCTGGTGTTCATGATCTTCAGCTGGTGGAGTTTCCCCTGAACCACGATCCTGAACTTCTCACTCATCTCAATCTCGACGCCGTTCTTTAGCCAGGTGGACGGCACGTTGAAGTGAGAAACTTCACACTCGAAAGAGGCCACCTGGGTTTCAGGGACCTCCACGTTCTTAAGGGGTTTGGTCACCCGCAGAGCTGCAGAAACAACACAGGCTCAAATGGTTTGCTTCCTGTAATCCATTAATACTAGAAAATAATTATTTTTTTTAAGACTTACACTCAACAGTGAGGTGAGCACTGCAGTGAAGGTGACCAATCACCACAGTGTATTCTCCCTCTTTGCTGCTGTCCACATCCTGGATAAGTAATTTGTGCGTCCTTTTCTCAGACAGCATGGTGTAGTGCTCGTTTGGCTTCAGCTCAGTGTTCTTGAACATCCATTTAACTGGGATGTTGTCTTCAGAGATGCCCACTTCAAACATAGCTGTTGCACCCAGCAGTGATGTCACATCCTTTGGCTTCTTCAGGATCTTAAGGGCTGGGAGAGAGTTCACATTCATAAAAACGCTTTAAAAAATCTCTTTTTGAATCCCAACTGAGTGCTATACTTACTTTCAACATTAAGTCTGGCGTTTGCAGACAGCTTTCCCAGTTTGAAGGAGTAAACTGACTCGTCTTGTGTGGAGCAGTTGTTGATCTTCAGTGTGTGAACTGTGCCCTCCATGCTGATCTCAAACTTCTCACTGGGCTGGATCTCAACACCATTCTTGATCCACTGTGCTCCCCTGACGTTCTCATGGGTCAGCTCCAGACTGAACACGCCCTCCTGAGTCTCGACCACATTCAAGTTCTTCAGGGTCTTCTTGATTTTTACAGCTGCGCAGGAAAATGCAATTATCAGTTTAACAGCATCGAATCATGATGTTAAAGAGATTCAGAAGTGTCTCGTTCTAAAGTTATAATTCATTATTTTAGGAGATATTCTGCATGGATCAATCAGCAGTAAGTATATGTCTCTATTAATCATACCTTCAACTTTCAGACTGGCGGTGGTCTTGGACGTGGCTACTTGGTAGGTGTACTCTCCGATATCCGTGGCTTTTGTGATAACTATAACAAGACGTCTCACGGCACCGTCCACCTCACTCAGCACATTCTCACTGAAATCGACAGGCTGTCCGTCCTTCAGCCACTTTCCTTCAGCAGATGGGTTTGCGACTTGACACTCCAGCACAGCAGTCTGGGAGTCAGCCACAACCAGATCTCGCAAAGGCTTCTTGATGGCACCACCTGGTGACACAGGATGGTTACATCATCATTAAAGAGACGGTCACAGAGGGCATTCAGTTTAAGTCGTATCCTGCTTACCTGTCACAGTAAGTGAAGCTCTGCACGTCTTCTCACCAGCAGCGAACATGTACTCGCCCTCCTCATCCTTCATCGCGTTGATGACTGTCAGGGTGTGGTGCTTATTCTTGGTTTCCATCTTGTGGCTGCCGCTGGCTTTGAGTGGCTGGTCCTTGAAAGTCCAGTAGGGGTCGATACCTGGGTGGGAAACCTCAACTTCGAAGGAGACGTTCTCAGATTCGGAGCACTCCATGTCCTTCATGGGCTTCAGGATCTGCACAGCTGTTCAAGTAAAGCACAAGATATGCAATTCTCAAAGTATCCTGTAGATGGAGCAATGACAGGTATGATTACTCATTACTGAATTTCACTTAACTTGATCAATCAATCAAATTTTATTTGTATAGCACATTTCAGCAGCATTTCAAAGTGCTTTACATAATTAAAATAAAAACAGCATGTGACATTGAAAAAACAGTGAGAAAGAGAAAGACATTTTGAAAAAGATTAAAAAAGATAAAAACATTATAACCCGCACCCCTTCTAGGGCTTCAGTTAAATGTCGTTTAACTGGGGCTCTAACCCTCTGATGTTCAGATCAAATCAACACTGTGGAGATGTTTCTTCTGATCCTAACAACTTTATTTAGACTCGGTGAAGAATGTAATGCCACTTGTCTGTGCTATAAGATCCTGGGAACATTGCACACCTTTACTGGAAAATAAAGGTGTGTAAGCTTAAGATTAAAAAACAACAGCATTTTAAACATTTAGAATTAAAAAAAAAATTGATTTTGATGAAATGATAAAGAGGTTCTTGTGCATTGTTTACCACCTATCTTGACCTGGTAGCAAGCAGACTTTCTGAACGCGATACAAACTATGTTTCTTTTGTTAAAGTTATGAAAAAAGTAAGGTTTTGAGCAGTAGGACATTTTACCATTGTTTATTAATAAGCACATGGTGGAAAGTCACTGTGGGTAACTTACGCTCCACAGAGAGTTTGCAGCTGGTGTCCACTCTGCCAACAGCCAGTTTGTAGTGACCCTCATCAGAAGCATAGGTCCTGCTGAAAACCAAACGCTGCTTGGTTCCCTTTGCCACCATGCAGACCCGGTCACTGGGCACCAACAAATTGTCATTGTGGTACCACTTGACAGAGCTAACATCCTGAGCAGAGATCTTGGCCTCCAGGACAGCCTTGGTGCCTTCAATGGTAGATGCATCCTTTAATGGAACCAAGATGCCAATACCTGCAACAAAGAGGAATTCCATTTCAAAAATCTTTATTTTGAGGCAGAATGTTGTTCTATTTATGTATATGAGTTTGAGAGACCTACTCTGAATCAACAGCTTTGCAGTGGTTGTGATATCATGATCAGGAGCCACAAATGAATATGATCCAAAGTCATCCTTGATAGCATCTTCAATCAGGAGTTTGTGGACTTGTTTATCAATAACAATGTGAACACGGTCAGAAGCTGTAATTGGTTGTCCGTTCTTCTTCCAGCTGCCTTCAACATTTTCCTGTGAGAACTTGACCTCAAGCTGGGCAATATCACCCTCGCAAACGGTCAGGTCCGTCAAAGGCTGAACCAGGGTGACGGGTCGCACTAAGACATGAAGACAAAAGCATTCAGAAATGGAAACCAAAAATAAAAAAAACTCCAAAACACAAAATAAAGTTTAAGACAAACTTAGTAGAACAAAGTGATCAAAATACACGTCTCTAATTCGCAATGTGATAAATGACTTACATTTCATCTTTAGTGAGGCAGTTGTTGTGAATTCACCCACTTTGAAGGTATATTTGCCCTGGTCTTCCTTCTTGACATCTTTCACAGACAGACTGTGTCTTCCACGGCGGGAGGTCATGACATATTTACCACTGGGAGAGAGCAGCTTGTCCTCAAAGTACCAGGTGCCTTCAGCATCTTCACGAGTTACAACACATTCAAATTCTCCAGAGTACGTCTCAGGCACCTCGGTGTTCTCCAGCTGCTTCACCATCTCCAGAGGAGCTCCTGTTGACAGTATGATCAAATAAAGCTCTTAAGAAACTAATGCTTTGTTGACCAAATCCTATTTATTATCATTAAAGTTTTTTAAACTTTGAACATTTCATCATCATCAACAAACCTTCAACATTGAGTTTGGCGCTGGTTCTGATGCTCTCATCATCTACAACTGCGCATGAATATTCTGCATCATCCCTCATGTCAATAATCAGCACAGAGAGGAAGTGGACCTTTCTGTCAGAGTGCATCCTGTATTTATCTCCTGAGAAGATCTCCATGTTGTTCTTGAGCCATTTAACCTTAACAAAAGGCTCATTAGTTTCACACTCAAATGTAGCCATGGTGTCCTTCTCTTTGGCGTTGAGTTCCTCAAGCTTCTGTGTAAAAGTGATGACTTGTTTTGCTGCAAAAACATCACATCATGTTTTATTAGAAAACACGTTATTCAAAAGGGAACAAGTTGTAGTTTGAAGAATTCACTGTTGCCGTACCTTGCACCAGCAGGAAAGCATGGCTGGATGTCTCTCCAGCCTTGTTGGTTGCCTTAACCATGATGCTAGCTGAATCCTCGACTGACACGTTTCTGATCACAAGTTCACACACATGGTCTTCAGGCCAGAACCAGTAAACGCGGTCTGATTTTTCCAGCTGAACACCATTCTTGAACCATTGGCACTCAGGATCTGGTCTACCAACAACTCTGACTCTGAATTTGACTTCATCTCCCAGTGCAACTGTCTGGCTGGTGATGCGCTCCAGGATCTTAGGAGCTTCCATGCTGGGTGAAAGCTTGATCCTTTCTGGTTTCAGAGGTTTCGCAGTTAGTTTGAGGCGCTCTTCCTCCTTCTTCTTCTCAGCCTCCTCCTTTTCCTTTGCATGATGAAGAAGCTCCTCTTTTGTCTTCCGTAGCAGATCTTCATAAGAATCGTCTCTCCTACGTGACTTGAGCTCAACAGCAGTGATGGACTCATAATAGCCTTCCTCTGTCCTGCGCTTAAATTTGCTCCTCAGTTCCTCAGACTCTTCTACGGCTTTTTCGTGGACAATTCTCTGGGCTTTCTTAAGCTTGACCACCTCCTTCAGCTGAGTGTCTTCAGTGGGCTGCTCAGCCTTCACCACCTCAAATGGTACTCTTCCTGACTCAGCAGGAGCTTCGCTTGCTTTACCCTCAGCAGCACGGCGCAGATGAGTTCTGAAGTCTTCCTTCTGTTGAATCTCCAACTTCACAACATATTCAGCTGAACCCAGGTTGTTGTCAGCTATAACCTTTACCTCTCCTGAATCATAGGATTTGATATCTGTAATCTCCAGGTAGTAAATACCATCGTAACGAAGTCTGTATCTCTTGCTTTTGCGGATGAGTTGTCCGTTAAGGTACCAGTTAACCTTTGGAGCCGGGTAGCCGGTCACTCTGCAGCGGAACCTGGCTGTGTCACCTTCCACAACCCTGACAGGCTCAGGGAGAAGGACAATCTCAGGTTTCATTTTCTCTGTTTCTTCTTCAGCAGTTACTCCATAAGGTCCACCTTCATGAGCCTGCCGTTCCATTTCATCAATTCGTTGAACTCCCTTTCTGCCTTCAGGAAGCTGAGATTCCTCAACAAGGCCCTTCTCATCCTTGACGATCAGGGTAGCCGAGGTCTGGTCGACTCCAAACTTGTTGGTTGCTCTGCAGGTGATCACACCACTGTCTCTTGCATAAGCAACCTCATAGTCCAGGCTGCAGTAGCCAAACTCATTGACCATACGCAGCCTGTTGGCAGCAGCCAGAGGCTTGCCGTCATGCAGCCACTCCACCACCATGGTGGGGTCTCCAATCGGAGTCAGCCTGCACTCAAAGTGGGCCGGACCAAAGCGCTTCATTCGGACAGATGTGAGCTTCTTCTTAAACAATGGTTTCTGCTGCTTCTCCTTGTCATAAAGGTCGCCCTCCTCCCACTGCTCTTGGCCATAACGGAGGTGAAGAGGCTCCAGCTCTGGAGGGCTGATCTCTTTGGCCTTGTAGGTTCCTTTGGGAATAATGAGCTTCCTCTCTGGTTCAGGCTCAACATATTCAACCTCCACATTGACTCTGCAGCGGGTGGTGTCTCTGCCAGCCTTGTTGATGGCTGTGGCGGTGTACCAGGCACTGTCTGGTCCGCCTGCTGAGGGGATTTGGAATTTGGCCTCTCCTTTGGTTCCTTCAATCCTAAAACAGAAAAGTTTCATATTAACAACTTCAGACACTTTGGATATTAACAACTACGACTCCTAAGATTTCTCCTCCTTGAGGAGGAGACATCCTGCATTACAAGCAGATAAAACAGCTCTCTTAAATAAGATTGGCTTATTTTTACACAATGCAGTACAAAACATGTTCTAAATACAAGAAGATTCTAATGCTACTGTGGATTTCCTGGAAACTCAGAGCAGATATTAGAATTTATTTTAATATGATACATACTTAATGTGTGGGTGCTTGTGTGGGGTGATGATGTCGCTGTTTTTCAGCCAGACGATGTCAGGCAGTGGGTTTCCAATGGCTTTAACAGCCAGCTCAACCAGAGTGCCCTCCTTCACACTGATGTTCCTCAGTTTCTCAGTAAACTGGGGACGGACCAAGGTTTCCTTAGCTAAAAAAAGATAGAAACATTATGTCAACATATGTCCCAAAGCATTGTCTTGCAAAAAACCTTAAGCAGAGGTCATGGAAACTGTACAACGAAGTCTTACCATCAACTGTGAGAGTGACGGAGATGGATGAGCGCCCGGCTCTGTTCTGAGCCACAACTGTCCATTCTCCAGAGTCATGGGGCATGGCTGGGACAATGATCAGGGACTGAGTCCCATCCTCTTTAACCACAATCTTATGGGTGTGGTCACTAACAATCTGTTGCCCTGAAAAGGCCACATAATTGAAAATGGATTGAGTAACAAGTATTCTACATTTACCAACACCTTTAATGAAGATTCCTCTTATGTGTGTCTCACCATTGTGGAACCAATAAGTGTCAGGCATTGGTCGGCCAACAACCTTCAGGTCAAATCTGGCAGTTTGTCCCTCAGAGCATTTACATGCAGTAGGCTTCATGACAAATACGGGTTTGTAAAGTCTTTCCAGCTGTTGTTCATCAGTCTCATCAAGCCGCCGAGCGGGAGATCGTCCGGGTGAATGGCTGGGTGATCGGCCAGGAGAGCGGCTCAGAGAACGAGGTGACGTGGATCTGAGGAACGTTCAAAATGTAATGAGCATTTAAATCATACACTTTGAAGAGTTTGCTTTGACTCATATTTTACCTGATCCTCTGCACTGCAGGCTGTGGTGTGTATCTCTGAGGAGCGGCTGCAGATGACTCCACATAGAGCTTCCCTGAGCAGACAGCATTTCCTTTCATGTTGGTGGCGAAGGCAGTGTACACGCCTTCATCTTCTGGTCGCACCATAGACAGGCGGAGGCTGGCTCGTCCATCCTGGAGGACCTCCATCTGGTAGTGGTCACCGGGCCTGATGCGCTGGCCATTTTTGAACCAAGCAATCTGCCACAAAGTTAAAGCATCAGTGAATCCTGTTTGACTGTCTCTGTCATGTCTGTTCCAGGTGATTTGTTTAATAGAAGTAACCAAAGAAGAACCTTTTATTTAAAGATTTCTCACCTTGGGGAGCGGCGTTCCAGACATCTTGCAGTGGAAGGTGACGCTCATTCCCTCCATGATCCTGTAGTTTTTGACCGGAGTGTCGAAGGCTGGCTGCACTGCCTCAGTGGCAGTGGCGGTCACCATCAACTCTCCATCCTCGGTTATAATCTCTCTGTAGGTGATCTTCATGATGGTGAGCTCGATCTCCTGAATGATTCTCAGCTCCATGGCAGACAAATGGAATTCCTGCAGGTTTCATGAAAAATATTGGATCTTTATAAGTTGAGTGAAAAAAAAAAGATCAGTGGCTTAATTTTTCTGCTTTGATAAATGCATAGAGAGTATATTACTGTTGCTTAAACACACAGATTTCTACTGTATTAGAGAAAGAACCTTATGATGTATGTAAAGATTCTAACAAAGATGAATTGCCAAACTGCTAAAAGCTCCTCTGCTGAATGTTTCTTGTACCTGTCCGGAGATAACGGTGGTCATTGTATCCACTGTGATAGGGGGAATGTCTCCAGGTTTGGGCTCCTGCACTGGAGCTGTCACTTCCTGTTTCTTCATGTACGCTTCATATTCCTCTGTAAACAAAACATTTGTTCTGTCTCTGATGTAGCCAGTGTGAAACACAATTCATATTTAAGCCCAGTTTCCCTTTAATTTGTCTCTTGTTCTTCCTGTTTAGACACCGTTTGTGGACATACCTTCCTCCAGAAGACTGACGGAGGCTGAGACTTCTCCAAGCTGATTCTTGGCAAAGACAGAATATTCTCCTGCATCGTCTGCAAAGGTCATCGAGATCTCCAATCTGCACTCTCCGGTCTCTTTCTTGTAGGCAACTTTATACCTGATGAACACAGACAGTGAGCTATATAAAATTCCCCAAACTAACGCTGATTATTTTAATATTTGAGTTATTTGAAGGCTATTAGAAGCCATGAGAATGCAAATATAAAATTAAACTAAATAATAATAACTGAGTTACTAAAATAATGGAAAATTGTCCAGATTGATATGATGATAACTGATTCATCGGCTGATGAAAGGACCTTTGGTGACTTTTCTTAATCACTATATTTTCCATGGCTCCTTCTTGGTGGGGCACAGTATCAGAGAGAGAGAATGTGTTTAACTGTTTTTATTTTAGATTTGAGGTTCTAACTCATATTTAACTTTATAAATGAGAATAAAATTTCAATAAAATTTCAGTGGCTACAACAGAACATACAACATTTTGTCACTTTATTTTATGTTTTAGTGTATTTTGAAAGTGAGGAACTGCAATAGTTATAAATTCAAAAATTAAAGCTGCAATTAAAGACTTCAAAACATTACTGTAATTTGGTGTTTTTTAAGAGTTATTACTGTTTTCCAATGTTTGAGAAAGCTGGGCCAGGTCTTTTATGGCAAAATGTATCTTTGGTTTCAGGTTGATTAATAACTTAAAAGACATGTCAGTGGTTGAATTACATATTTAAAAGTCAAAACAATATCAGCTGCTACTTTTTCCTTTTATATAAACTGAAGTATTAGATTATGTCCTCAGTTGTTTCTTTTCCATGAACTTAAAGGATGTTTTAGCTAAAGGAGTTTAAGTTTGATGCAGGACAGAAGCAGCAGCAGCAGCAGATACATATATATGTTCATACGACGCTTTTAGTATTTGATTGTACAATGTTACTGTGAAGGTATAATTTAATTGTAAAATCCAAAGTATACTGTGGGTGATTAGATGCAGTTTGGTGGTTTTAGGAAATAAACTGGATTTAAGCAAGTCAGACACATAACAGCTGCTTAAGAAGAGAAAGGATTTCCTCCCTGAGGTTTCAGTACCTGTATCCGGTGGTGAGCGGCACGCCACTCTTCTTCCAGACAACGTGAGGCTTGGGGTTTCCGCCCACCTGACACTGAAACACAACGCTTCCTCCTTCCACCAGCTTCTGAACGACGGGTGTCTTAATGAAGATGGGAGCAGCAGCAGGGGAATCCGGCTCAACCACACTCACTTCGGTCTCTTCTTTAGCTTCTACTGTAACTCTGTGGTTTAAAACAAGGAACAACTTTAGTAAGAAAAGAAATACTGGTTTATATTTCAAACTTTATAAAATATTCTTGACTTACTGAGTAACTTCAGTGGAAACGACCTCCTGCTTGCCCTCGATGTCCTCAGACACTGTGGGAAAAATAAAGTTCATTCAACCAAGAAATTAGTTTCTGATAGGAAATGAGACAAGCATCTCTCAAACAGCTTAATTTAGAAAATAACTTTCTGTTCTTATTTACATTTTATTTTAAGAATTGGTAAGCTCAAATGATTATTGAGCCTTCTCAATAATCAATAATCAATAATCAATATGTCACTACAGCACTCAAACCATTCAGCTTCTTACAGGTTTCTACTGGTATTCTGACAAAGTTGGAGGGCCTTCTTTACTTCACCCCAATCTTTAGCTGCCCACACACATTCTCAATCAGACTCCAGTTGGGACAGACTGGGTCTCTCCTACCGTTGGTATTGCTACCAGTGAGACCAGTAGTTTCGTAGTTTGCACTGACCCTGGACGAGCAGGTAGCAGGAGGTGCTGATGGTTCCGGCCTCGTTGGTGGCTGTACAAGTGAAGCGTCCGCTGTCTTCAGCGAAAGCCTCACGTATCACCAGCCGAGCAGATCCGCTCACGTAGCTGATCTGGAAATCAATGGAGCTCTCGATCTTGTAGTCCTCCCTGAACCACATGATGACGGGGGCGGGCTGACCGCTGATCTGACACTCCAAGGTCACCGACTCGCCCTCTGTCACGTTTGTGTTTTTCAAGCCCTGCATCGACATGATATGTTTAGAAAACACCCATTTTACTGCAAAGCTGATGATGTGGTCAACAATCTCAACTGGGCCACTTACAGAGACCAAAGTGGGTGGGACAACAGCGCCACCTGCAGACGGTACAGCTGCTGCCTCTGGCACCTGTCACAGAAACAAATCTATTAGATTAATCTGACATTTAAATCCATTTCTAAAAGAAGAATGCAACACACAGGACATAAAATGTGATGTTCACGCCCGAGAGGTGATGAAGAAGAGGCGACAACACAGAAAAATGAAGACGGTGCTGGATGGGCTCAAGAAGTGAGGATGAGGTTATCAATAGTGCAGAGAAGGAAGCTTGTTAAAGTTTTTATTAGAAGAACATTTATTGTTGGATTTTTCACAGAAATCAAGAAAACCAGATCTCTACCTAACAGGACAATCCCTAAAGATAAGATGAAAACAAACCCAAAGCTTTCAGGTCTTTGTCTCATGAGAGGTGAAAGATTGGAGTTAACCAAAGTTTTCTTTCCTTCCTTTAAAGCTGGTGTGAGTTTTCAAACTGCAGGTTTCAGAACCATCTGTTTCTTGCTACACATCAGGTTTTCTTGTTCTGCTCAGATCCATCTCATGAAGCTACAGAACAAACCTTGACTCTCCAGTCCTCATAAACTCTGTCCATCCCCACCATGTAGGCGACCCCCGTCTGAACCTGGGTGCCAGAGCGATACGACTCAATGGATTCTTTGAAAGGCGGTGGGATGGACTCCAGCATCTCACTGGTCCTAACAACTTTAAGAGACGGACTGGGAGACTTGACCGGTTTGATGATCTTTCTAGAAGGAGATGAGGATAACTCTTTCTGCAGAGTGGCGATAGCTGAGCCGGCGATGGACACCTGACCAATCCAGAGAGGAGGAAACGCCACACCGTCATCAGAACAGCCAAAGACTGGACTAGACTTTATTGTCATTGACATTTTACACTAAAAAGTGCAAAAAAGAGTGAAGTTCCATGGCAATGAATGAAATGAATGAATGAAATGTGCTGGATTTATATCTAAGGTGCACACAGCACACAGAGGGTCTATGGGCCGTTAGTTTTATTAGAACTATAACAGGATCAAATGAGGGGAATTTTAGATGAAGCAGGATTAATTATGGGTAGAAAAGGAAATTTCTTTTCTGATTAATAATTTAAGTCAGGAGCGTAAAAAAGAAGGGGAAGGTTAAAGAGGGCTTCATTTGTTAAAGATGTTCAAACACCTCTAGAATCGGTTTGCATCTCAGGCAAGCAGTAATAACCAAACTAACAGACTAACACAATACAAACACTGCAGAGTGTTTGGTTTATTTTAGACCATTTGAGAAATATTTTACATTTACCATATAGCAATGGAAATAAGAGTTTGGATGTCAGAGTAAAGCTTAACTAATGGGTCTAAGCTGATGCAAAGTAGTCAAAAACAGATATTTATGTATACATGTATTTAACTCAGTTAGAAAAATCGGAGGCAGGGATTTCTGATCAATGTGGAAAATCTAAACATGAGACACCAGGTGGCATCTTTAGCCATCTGTGATCCACCTGTTCATGAAACATATGTGATTGTTGACTTTGTTTATGAAAGAATCAATTTAGAGGCTGGCAGATGCTGCACAGCTTGCTGCAAACATTTTCCCATAAAGCTGCAACAGAAACCTGAACTTAGAGAGTCAACTACCTATCAGTTTTAACTCACACCAAAACATTGGTCGTTATCTCACTTGTTTAAGTTTCTCATTTTTACTCTGGCTATGTCCTACTGCTTGCCTGGTTCTGCCTCTCTTACCTCCCCAACAGACTCTGGTTTGGGGACAGAAACTTTAGAAACCATGAATTGTGGAACTGGAGACGGAGTGAGACCAGTTTCCACTCTGGAGGAGATTTCTGTCCCTCTCTGAATCTGCGGTGATCAACACAGAAGCGTTAGCATGTCAAGTAGACGCTCAGAGCTGCTCAGTACAATAGTAAGGGGAAAATGGCAAATTCAAAGTAATTTAATAATAATCACTCTTCAGAACGTTGTTTAAAATTTAAATTTAAACTATATTTAGTTTTAAGCACAAAAATGTATAAAATTGTTTGGATTAAAAAAAGGTTTTGCCAGTGTAAATTTAACCCCACTGACAAAGTAAAATCATTTATTTTTGTCAGATCAGGGTCTTGTTCTTTTCTTCACATGTTGAGCTTCTAACCTGAGCCTGCAGGTCAGATGTGAACTCCTGAGCAGCAGTGAGCATTTGACCAGCCTGCATTCTCGTTGACGTCCAGCCAATCTGATACTGTTGATCGGCAGACATAGCAACTGTCTGCTGCCTCATTTCAGCCTCTACAGCCTCCACCTCTTCAGCTCGACCGCCTTCGACATGCACGGGTTGGCGAATACTAGCCAGGTCAACGGCGGCCACCACTTTGGCCACCGCCCCAGCTTTTGTCCCTCCCTCAGCCTGGAGATAGAACCAGCAGCACAAAGAACTCAGAACAAGACAACAACACACAGAAAGGAGGTCTGATGAAAAATAAAATAGCAAGTCTGAATTTTATTCAGACTTTCTGCATCAAGTAAAACAAGATGTTACGCTTTTTAGTGTTAGTCAAGTGAACCAGCTGAAGTAGAATAGAGCTAGTAATTTTACTAACCACGTTATTCCAAGATCACATGATGCATTTCATATAATTTTATTAAAATGTGTAGGAACATAAGCATTAAGTTCTTAAATGGGATAATATTGTCTATAAGGCTTCTTCACCTTATAAAGGTTGGCAAAAATGACCGGAAAAAGACCCACAGTTGGTAAATGATGGAAAATAAAGTACAGATTGCAGGAATAATCCATCTTTCACATGTACCAGATTAAGATTAAACCACAGATTAAGCTTCGTCTGATTGAAAGAGAAGCCGCAAGCAACACAACTACAGGTAATGTCTGGATACTTCAACGTTCTGAAAGGACCAGAGGTAACTAAAGTAACACACCAAAAAAACTTCATTTAGTTAAATTCCTCACCAGTTACTCAAAAAAACCCTCACTACATGCCAAAACAAACTGCTTTGCCATGAATACTGAGCCATAATTTCTTAGAGACACTAGTGCTGAAGGGATTTAGACAATAAAAATTAAAAACATAAAAACTGAGTTTCAGACAATTTTTGACTCCAGAATTTGGTTCTCATAGTCCAGCCCTAACAGGATGATTCTAGTAACTCTGCTGATCTCCAGTGATGGGATAGATGTCCACATGAACAGGTTGAAGAAAATGTGGCACAAATCAGCATAATCCAAGTTTTACAAATCAGAAGGACCCAAATCACACAAAAAGAAATGACAGGAGTGAAATCTGTGGAAAACATTGTTGAATGTTGGTTCTTCTGCAGGAAGTCTCTTCTTGCAATAATCCTAAAAATATTTATCCATTGTATTTAAAAATAAGAAAGGAGAAGCTGGCTGGAAGAACAGAAAATGCCCTAGTCTTTGATAAGTTTGATTTAGACATGTACTACAAAAAACAAAAAAAAGGTACAGAGGTTTTTGTAAATATAAGCGCAAACTTCAAACTGAGATCTGAGACATTCCTGGTTAGGATTTTATCTGGATTGAAACCACAGCTTTGACCATCATCCAAGTCTAAAAAAGTTTCCAGGGGAATGAAATGTTGTTAGCAGACACACAGAAAGACAAACATACAAACCAAACAACCTCCATCATGGAGGCACAAACAGAACTGGACAGTACATGCTCCATCACTACGCTCGGATATGACCAACTCCAAACAGCAGGAGGGGAATTCTGGTAACAAAGATTTCAGATTCTTAGCATCTGGTGTTAGCATGAGCTGACATTATCCTCCTTTCTTATGTCTCTAAAGCAGCCAGAGGGGAGATAAAACCCTCCTCCAAACACACAATCCCCACCTCTTTGGAGTCTATGACTGGTTGATGAACTGGTTTCATGCCATCATCTCCTCTCTTCCATGGTGGAGGGACTTCAGCGGCGGGGGCAGGCTGCTTCCTCGTGGTGACGGGAGACTTTACCGGCCTGGTGGGGAACAGTGACCAGGTTCACTCTTTCTGTTTGTAGGTAACGTAGCTACTTTAAGTCAGCATAAATGACGTGATGCTCCCACCTGACAGTTGTGGGCGTGGGAGCCTTCACGTGTCTGACAGGTGACGGTGACTGTTGGCGCCCTGCGGTCACCTTGGGGACCAGCGAGGGCTGGGTGGGGGACTTTGACGAAGGTTTGGGTGGAACTCTGGGTGGAGTCTTGTGACCAAGTGTCTGAGCCAGTTCGAACTCCATCTTCTGAGGAAAGATACAAAGAGATCAAATTAAGGCACAAAAAATGAGAATCTAATAAGAATAAGATCTTTTTTTCCCAATGAGTAGAAAAAGTGAGATGAAGCTAGAACCCTAACAGGAGTTCTGATCACATCAGACATGATTTGTACCTTTTCCACTCTTGTGACTCTGGTCTGTGAAATCTGAGCAGTTGAAATCACCGTCTTGGTTTTCTTTGCTGGAACTGGTTCTTCTCCTGAGCACAAAGTTCAGGTTCAGATAATGTCCACTCAGCAGTTATAACCCACAGAAGCTGACAGAGCTCACCTTGAACCAGCAGCTCGCAGGTAGACGTGGCCCGTCCACTGCTGTTGGTGGCTGTTGCAGAATACGTCCCAGAATCCTCTGGGAAGGCCTCTGCAATCAGCAGACTGTACAGGTCTCCGTCCTGCAGGATCCGGAAGTCGGCAGAGCTCTGGATCTCGGCTCCCTCCCTGTAGAACTTGACTACAGGTGTGGGGATGCCTGTGATTCTGACGTTCAGCCTCACCTGGCTGCCCTGCCTCACTGTGGAGGTCTGCAGCCTCTGAAGGAAGGTGGGAGGCGCCGTCTCCGCTGCAGCAAAAAAAAAAAACAGGTGTAAACCAATAAACTCCGACACCTGACTGTGGCTTTTAGATTTAATCTCCAAGATTTAACTTGTATCGTCAGTCAAAGTTATTTTAGCTCACCCACATCAAGGTATCCCTCAATTATTTTTACTAAATGTAACAAAACTTACTAACTAACAATATTTTCCATAACCCCTCTCCAAAGAAAGTAACTATGAGCTCAGTACAGCCAGAGAGATTTAAAGAAGAGCAGCCAAACCCATCCAGGTTGGTTTGCCTCCCACTGATGGCGTCTCACCTGTAACCAGGAGCTCAGCGGTGCTCGTGGCTTGTCCAGCGCCGTTGGTGGCTCTGACAGAAAAGCGTCCGCTGTGTGCGGCGGTCACAGCGGGGATCCTCAGAACAGCGCGGCCGTCGCTGAACGAGATCTGGACGCCGGGCAGAGCTGCGGCGGAAAGAACCTGGCCATCACGGAACCAGCTCACCTCAGGAACTGGAAAACCTGCAGAGGAGAAGGTCAGAGGTCAGAGGTCAGGGAAGCAGGAACGATATGCTGCAGAACCTCAGCAACAAAACACACAGGAACTTCACTGTACATATATCCATCAATGATGTTTTTGAATAACAGTAAAGCTTTTATAATTTAACACTTTAATATGGTTTGATTTATGAAGCAGCCATGGTTTAAAAACCATTATAATATGGCTTATTAATGTCTTAATAACTCATATTAAAACACTAACTGTTTTAACTTTTGTACAGTTAAAACAGTATTCAAAACAAAATGGAAATAAAGACGAGTATAGTCTTTATTTTTCTATTAATCAGAAGCTAAACTTTGATTTCTTTGAAATTTCAAGTTTCAAAAGTGAAAAGTCTACAATCCTCAAATCTTTTTTAATTGAGGTGAAACAGTCATATTTTGTTATGACTGTAAACTTTTATTATCCTGCTTAATTAGCTGCATGCTGAAGCGTCTGTAGCGAAAATAAAATGTGGAAAAGTTTCATATTTTCATTTATTGAGTTTATCACTCTGCAAACGTTTATTATCCTGCGAACTTCGCTTGTGATGCTCTGATTTTGCAGAATTGTCTCCTGCCTGAGAACCAAACCGAGATGCCGCCATCAGATGTTTTCTTACCACTGATTTGAGCCTCGAACGAAGCGGCACTACCCTCCAGTGCCACGACGTTCTGTAGCGGCTGTGTAAACGTTGGCGCTTGTGTTGACATGGTGGTCGGCACCCTGAAACACAGACCAGGTCATTAAACCTTAGATTTCTGCAGCAGACAGACACATTCCGCCCCTGAAGCATCTGCATGAGGCGGGTTTCATCTGGTGCAAACCATCCACAGGAAAACAGGAAATGCTGCCACTTTAGACACATCAAGTTATCTTACCACCAGCAGGTGGCGCCAGTTCTCCATTAAAACTTTGGAAAGAAAATACAAGAAGCTTTTTTTTCTTCAAATAAATCCACAAAATGGCAAAAAAAAAGTCAAATGTTTATGATTATTTTTTGAAACACTCAAGGTTCACAAAGAGAAAGTTGATACAGACTCTTCACATTGCTTTAAAATGTCTTCTGCACATTTTTTTTTCACACAGTTTGGGTTTTGTTTCTCCTCCTGCCCTCCATTAGAATCTAAATATTTCTTTTGTCATTCACTCAGTTAACTCATGCTGACTATTTAGCTACATGCTGCAGTGTTTGCACAGCAAAAATAAGCATAAAGTTTCACATTTTCACTCACTGCTTTTTCCACAAAATACACTTGATGGTTAACTTTACAAGCATTTTCCAAATGCATGAAATATCCAGCATATATGATCTAACCACAGATCTTCACAGTAAAACCAGACACCAGTTCAGTTCTGTTTGCCACATTTGTGTTTTCTCAGGGTTGTTTTAAGGAGCTTCCACAAGACCGAGACCTTATTAGCTGATATTCAACATTTGTTTTTGTCTCTACAATTTTTGTAATTTTTATTCTTTGAAATTCAACATTAATTTTTTTATTTTTTTTTCTTGACATTTGTTAAGATTTAATCAATTCTTCAAAAGTTGTAGTATTTCTCAGGCAGGTTTAAATAAATTGCAACAAAATATTTGTTTTTTCACAAGAAATGAGAGAAGCAACTTTCAAAAACAATAATGAATTTTATTTAAAAAGAAACAATGTACAGCTCAAACTTAATTGAAACTCTTTGATGCACACTACCAGATTATAACACAAACTAACTCACATCTGCAGTCCCACGATAATAAATGTAAAATAAGTATCTTTTTTGGAGAAAAATTAGTTTCATCTGCATTTTGATGATAATTGACATGTAAGAAATGATTTGTACTGTTGTCAGTAATCAATGGAAACATATTTATTGGAATTACAAAAACCAAACCCTTGCTATAACTGCTGATCAGGATTTTTCCTGTTTCCACTTGTTTTTTTGAGTGTAATCTTTTACATTAAACATTCATTTCTCTGAGGTTGGAAGGCCTCCTTGCCATCACCCTAATCTTTAGCTCCCTACACAGATTCTGAATCAGATTCTTGTTAGGACTTTTCCTGCAGCAATCCAAAACACCAGTATTACTTCCAGTCAAAAGAAACAAGTTGGTCATATTAAAAGATTACCTAAATTTACTAGAGGTGTGAAGATTTTTCTGAAATATTCATATTTCACAGAAACTGTGATGAGAGCTTGTGCCCTGCAGGAGAGTCAATGGATAGAGATTTCTTTCTAATTATTTAAAGTCCATTTATCTGTTTTATCTTCAACAGTTAAGTCTGATTCAATTTAAATTATTTGTATAGTACTAAATCACAAAATGTTGCAACAAGATACTTCATATTAAAACAACATGCCTCGTTCAAATCCAGTGTTATTCAGATTCAGGATCAATAAAGAGTCAATTTTTATTCAATGTATTATCTATTCTTATGCTGATCTGATTAGTACTTAAACATATTGATGTTAGACAACCAGACAATAAAGCTACAATGGTGTTATTATTTTTCTATCTTTAGGTTATTATATATATTTTGTATTTATAAAACTTCAGACAGATTCTGTGAAGCTGCAGCTGTTTCTGATAATCTGACAGCAGCAGGTGCTGCTGCGCGAACCGCAGTACTACAGTTACTGCCTCAGTACTACAGTTACTGCCTCAGTACTACAGTTACTCCTTCCAACACTTTATAGATCCACAGGTCAGAAGTGTCGCTCTAAGGAAAATGTTTTTAAAACCATTACTTTTACTGTGGAAAAAATTATCTTAATTATTCTAATAATGTTGCAGGAAACGGAAAACAAAATGCAATCTAATTCATAGAGTGCAAAACAATCATCATCCTAGTTTAGCTTAAAGAGAAAACAGAAAGAAAACAGCAATAATTAGCTGCAGTTCTAGAAATATTGTAAATAAAATCAGAAGTCATGTTAATATGCTTATCATGATGACTTTCTGTGTTTGTAAATAAAAAACCCTAAAGATCAGTTTTGAAATTGTTCATGTTGTGGAAACAAAACTGAACTGAAACTCATCACAGTTACATGGAACGTCAACCAGATAACATGAAATTACATAAAAATGTGTTTATATTGAAGCAATAGTTCTCATTGTTCACATTGTTATTAACACAGCTTTGTATAACGTTATATTCAGCCAAAAAGTGCATCATTTGATTAAAGCTGGAACAGCACCAGGACTAAAATCATGTTTACCTAAAATAGCTTCATGTTAAAATAGATCTGACTCTTAATCATTTGTGGGAGACACATCTTTACTTTGACTATGCTTGACCCAAATTACAGAACATTCTTCTTTAAGTCTCACAAATATATGATTCTGTATTTAATCAGGTCCAAGGCAGAAAACCAAAAACGAATCAAATATTTTATCACTGACAGCTCCGGAAACACCAAGTTCAAGTTTGTTGACAGACTTCCTGCTGACATCAGAAGAACCCTCCAGTGACGGGAGGATTTCTGCCTGAGTCATTTTCAAACACGTCCAGATGATTTTAGCATCAGATTCTGGGTTAAATGAGGATTTCCTGCACTTTCAATGAGACACTGAACACCTCACCAGGACACCTGCTGCTTCATTTCACTGCTGTCAGCTGATCTCAGCTCACATTGTTTACACTCATCACAACATCATCTCAACATGCTCAATCCATAATCAATACACAGCTTAACATCAGACCGATCATCTAGGACCAAACCGGACCAGCCCTGCTGGTATTTACAGATCAACATCCGAGAGACAGATATGGCAGTAACCAAAAATACCTCGACACCCCCACCCTGACCCTGCACAGTTTGATTGACAGCCACCATGTGGCGCATAGCTGGAGGTGCAACTGATAGCTCTGCTGCTGATTCCCTTAAAAAGCCATGGGCCCAGCTGACAGGCCTCTCGGATGCTCTCAGCAGCTATTCTTGGCCCTCCACAGATCACTGCACACTCTGCTGCATGAGGCCTCCTTCTGCAGCCAAAAATACATCAACACCTCAGCAAACGTCTCCAAAAGCTGAATTCCTGACCCCAGATCTGATCCCAGCTTCACCAAAAACCAGAGTCCATGTCCGGGTAAAAGCATATCAGTTAGGGAGCACTGGGACACGAGCTGGAACTACTCACTTGTTTCCACAAGAGTGCCTGGAAGTGATGGGACGGAGCCCGACTGACTAACGGGCAGCAGCCCCCTTATCCAGAAAGGTTTGTGCAGAAAAATCCAAGGTGAGAACGGTCGAGCCTCGAAATATTCCCTGACAAAAACAAAACTACACAGATAGAAGCCGTGTAGTTTTGCTTTCCCTCCCCGCAATCCCTCCACCCGAGGCGAGGCTGGGAATGCTCCAACTGCTCAGGAGGGCCCAGACGGTGCTTTAGGGTTTTATACGAAGGGGGCAACCTGCATCACCACCTCACAGAGCCTCCCCATTGGCTGCTGGGACACCCAGGGGGGCATGATGGGAGATGGCAGCCATTTATGAAACCTCCTCTCCTCCAGTCTGCCAGTCATCATGAAGCCGTTGATCGAGCTACGATTCCCATCGATCTGGAGTCACCTGACTGCAGAACGTCAAGCATTACATGAGACCTGAAATAAAACCCTGAAGAGTTAAACTGTGCAAAAATCTCTGCAAACATCAGAGTCATAAAATAAGTGCTGACAAAAAAAGGAAGCTGAGGGTGAGGCTGTCCCTGTCAGTCAAACTCCCCCCCGCCTCCATCCAGCAGAACCACCGGCTGGTTGTTACAACACACCAACAAACTGTTTGTCTTCATCCTCAGTCTGACTGATGCAGCTTCAAACCAAGATTTAAAGGCTCTGCAAATGGAAAGCTTCAGCTCAGATCTCAGCCAGTAGCTCAGAACTGATCCGGTAGTTCAGATCTGATCCAGTAGCTCAGAACTGATCAAGTAGCTCAGAACTGATCCGGTAGCTCAGATCTGATCCAGTATCTGTTCTGTCCCACCATCAGGGTTTGGTAACACCGTTTGGTAACTCATCTATTAATCTTCTATCCATCTGTCACCCAACCAGAACCTAAGAATCTACGACAGAAGCCTCTGATTTGTTTCTTTTCATTAATGTGAGAAAATTAACCTTTTGAATTCTTCATGGTTTTGTTTACATCCAGTGATTAGTCAAAATATTAGCTAATTTAACAAATACAACAACAACAACTAAGAAACAAAAAGACAAAAGGGTTTCTTAAAATAAGCACTGAGCAGGGTTATTTTTGAAATACCAAACCTGAGGAATATGGAACATGAAGGAAATCTCATATTCTGTTTATGTTTAGAAGTCAAGAGTCAGAGTATTAAGGTACTTTCTAGAGAAAAAATTATAAATAAATCAATATCATAAAGATTAGATCAACATTTGTTGCAACAGCCCCTTTGACTTACAATAACTCATCACCCAGTCAGAAACTAAATGCACGCTCCTTTTACAGTCTGACAGATTTATGTTGTTTTTAAGCTGCAGTTGAAACTTTCTTCTTCTTGAATCTCAACGCTCAAAACTAGCAGGATTTTCTAAATGTGCCCATTTCTCTCGTACTTTGCATTCCTCTCGTACTTTGCATTTCTCTCCTGCAGAAATGCTCAGTCTTCTCTTAAAAGTCTCTTCCTACAGGGAAAACTTATGTTGTCTAAGCTAAAGAAGATCTTCAGGAGTTTCCTCTGCACTTCAAAAGACCTCATCCTCCTCAGCAGGTAGCGTCTGCCCTGACCGTTTCTGTATGACCATCAGTGTTGTGAGGCCAGTCCAGTTTATTGTTCAGGTGAACACAGAGGTGCTTATCTCAATATCTGTTCCCTTTATGTTCACTGGTGTCAGTTGGGTGGAAATCCACCACCAGGTTCTTGGTTTTATACATGAGATTATAGCCAGGTGGCTAAGTTCACTCTGTAGTCCTTATTGGCAGGTTGATGCTAAATTCCAATAACAAATGCAGGAATAAGAAAAACACAAAATAAAACTGCAGAAAAAAAACTTAAAATCTCTATATACTTATCATTTACTCAGTGTTGATATGTTTTGCTTTCCAAGAGCCAGATTTTAAGATGTTTTTTAAATCAGATGAGTGAAAGGTCAATTTTTTATCTTAATTGTTTTCCAAGTGGGAAAAACTATCGTGATTGAACAGTCACTCCTGTTGGCTCAATGGTGTTCTTTTAAATACACTTTTGGAATAGTAATGGAGCAAAACCATGACATATTTTATAAATAAGATGTTAGGTCAAGGCGTCTTCGATGCTGGTATGACACAGGAAGTAAGTCTTATGGTTCCTTCCTGAGCTTCAGGCCCAGGTTGAACATAAACCCAATGATCTGAGCAGCACCAGAGGGAGGCGGTGGGATGAAGTACACTGAAGCAGAGAGGATGGGGGCGGCTCAGATCTAATAGGTGTGAAGTTTAGGCTGGGGAGGGTGTTGCTATGATGACAGAGCTAAGTGGTTTATATTTCTGGGAGGAAAAACAAGCAATAACCAAAGATGAGGGGAATTACAAGCTTTTTATTAAGTCTTGCCATAAAGAAACTGCAACATGCAACACATTTAGCAATTTATCTAGAACCCAAACACAGTAACTACCAGATAAACCCTCTGAACATGGATCAGTGAGTGTGAGCGGGTAGCTATAGTTACTGCTGGGTGATTTAATTTTGTCTCGGTGTTTCGGGGGTTTTGCAGCAGTTCCAGCCGGTGGCTCAGATGTCGACAGTGAACAGCTGCAGTTAACTAAATCTGGTCTGAGTCCTCTGTCTGCTGGCAGGAGAAAACCTCAGGTCAACAGCGCCCTCTGCAGGTAAGCTTTGATACAACCTGAAACTGCAACAGGCTGTTAAAATGATTACCTTTAAAACTTAAACAATTGGTTCATGTTTTGATTTTTATAGATAATACATTTGTTCACATGGATCCAATGAAGAAATCAGATACTAAAAGTAAAACAGGCAATATTAAATGTATCCTTTGGTAAATACAATTCTGATTATACAGTGCATGTTTTTAGTCATTAAACGTTTTGTTTGAATAAAATGTCATATTTCTGACCAACTTTGATTACAAGTACATAAGATCTAGAATAAACAATGTTACATCACATGTTTTAAAAACCTTGACATTCTTTAATCAAGTTGTGAAATGGTATCCTTCTTTGAACCTGGTCCAATTGAGGACATTTTAAATGCATGAAATATTGAAATAAATACATTTTCAAACTTTACCAAAGTTTATAGTAAACTCTGACAGATAAAACTAGTGATACTCTATACTGCAACTGTAAATGGTCCTTAATTAACCAAAAAATAACAATTGACTTCACAGATTACCAACTGAAAGTCGATTTTCTTCATTTCAATTTCAGAAAGTCACATTTACGTTTTTTTACTGCCTAATTAAATATTTCTCATAAAAAAGAAAAGCATGTAAATCTCATACAATTTTACAGGTTTCAGTTGCAAAGAATTATACGGTTCATGAGAAAATCAAAAAGATGCTGACAGAAGATGATTTTTTCCTCACTTCTTTACAGAAGCTGCTGTAATATTTCGGGGTAGAATGTCCCACTTGTCCATTGACGCAGCGTGATTCTCCCAGTCCGGATTAATGGGAGGATTATTCAGAGCCATCAGACATCCAAGCCAGTAACATTCAGATCTCAAATACTCCATCATGTCTTCATGGTTTGTGACTTTGTGTGCAGATAAGGGTTTCTATAGAGAAGAAATAATTAAATTAATGGAATCTGAATAATTTTCTTCCATAAATGCATTTAAAAAACTTCATATTGTGTCTTTATCGTTCCTCTGATATCAAACAAACCTGTGAACCGTTGTCATATTTCTGATTGTAGATCGCCAGCTGCAGATTCTGAATTGCTAACAGCATGTTTTTTTTAACCTGAAACAGAGTTTTATATTCAGATCTGCAGTAAACCAATAATCTGGTTTTTGCGTTTCGTTACCTCTGGTGATTCTGTTCCATGTTTGAACTTATCCAACTCAAAAAGATCTGATATCATCACATTCTTTTCTTCCAAGTCTGTTCTTGCTGAGCTAAACTGTTTCTGTTAGCAGGCGATACGATGAGGAGAAAAACTATTTAGTCATTTCAATGGCAGCCAAAGTATGAAATGCATGTCTTGGATCATCAAACCACATTTTACCTGAATCATTTTTTAACAGAATCAGATTTTTCCCCAGCTAACTTCAAATCTTCTTTGATTTTTGGCCAGTCACATCTCAGAGTTTCATACATTTCTCTTATTCTGTTTTTACTGACTGGGCTGTTGAGGCTCATCATGTTTCCTGTTTTTATTGAGGGAGCAACTTCCAGTGCCACTCTGTAAGAGGAAAACATGATGATTAGTCACCTAAAACCTTCATAATCTACACCTTTATTAGTAAAACCCAGCTTGTCTTAACATTTCTATGAATTAATACCCAAGACCAAAGTTGGGTAGTTGTTTAAGGAAATTATTTTTCGTAGTTTTGGGATTGTCTTTCTTGGAAATCAACGCCTCACTTCCTATTCAGATTCTTTCAAAGGAAAACCCCGGTAAATGTTTTACATTATTGTTCCTGCAACTGTGAGAAGGGTGTAATGGGGAAAAATATACCTGGTATTCAGCATTTCTTAGGCCCTCGGTTCCTTAACTCTTCTGATTATCTCTGTTGCCCTGCGACAGAGAGACAGACAACCATGCACACACACCTAGGGAAAATTTAGAGAAACTAGTTAACCTGGCAGTCATGGTTTTGGACTGTGGGAGGAAGCCAGAGTACCCAGAGAGAACCCACACATGTAAAGGGAGAACATGCAAACTCCATGCAGAAAGACCCTGGGCCAGGAATTGAACCCAGAACCTTCTTGCTGCAAGGCAACAGCTCTACCAACTGCACCACTGTGCAGCCCACATTGTCTCAAATTATGACACAGGTACAATTGTCTCTATGCTCATCATTCTATCAAAATGTCCTGAGATCCTGCAAGAAAGAAAACGTGTTGGGTGCTGAATGATTCCATTGTGACACCTAAGGGACATCCAAGGCAATTGGCATATTGCCATATGCCATTTGCATATGGCAGCAGAAATGGTCATAATACTGCCACACTGGTCAAGACTTAAACAATGGCTCCTTGACCAGTTACATTTTAGCTGCTCCTTTGCCTCTGTGCTGGACAGAACTCAGCTTCATCTACAAATTCATATGTGTGAGGTGTTTTCATTGGGATTCATTTCAAACATGATTAATTGGTTTTGTAGGTTCATGTTTTGTTGGTAAAAAAAACTTTACCAACACAGAAGCAAATCTTATCAAAAGGATTTGACTAAATTTAGACTCGACTCAATGTGAATTTTGGATCTAATGTAAAAGTGCCCTAGGTTTCTTAAAAAAACAATTCTTGCATTTAGACTTTTGGTTTGGTAACATATAGGCAAAACAAGTCAGACTTGGGCCACCTGTGGCTACTGTTTATAAAATAAACAGTGAGTTTACCTAATTGAGAGAGTGAGTTTACCAGTGGTTTTACACCTAAAGAGCATATTACTGATGTAGTAAATATATATGTAAAAAAGTACACAGGTAAACAGCAGGAGGCACAAATGATTTAAGAACCAGGATGTGCAACAAAAGGATCTGACGGGAGTGAATGAATTAGAAGGGAAGTATGACTGCATGAGTTGAGGACATTACAGTAAATGACTTAACCAGGAATAAATTCAAGGAGCATGGAAATTACCAGACAAACTAAAGATAAAGAATAAAACCAAAACTAAATGTGACAATGAAACTCCAAGGTGATAGGATCATGAACTCCAAATTGTGACAGGAAACCAAACATGATTGAGAAAACATATATATTTTATTTAGGGCTTTATGTGAAAAGTAGACCAAAGCAATGTTAGATATCTGAAGTATAATAACCTGCAACCTTACAAGAGAATATTCAAAAATAATGTTCAGTTTTTTTTCCACAAATTTTAAAACTGAAGAAAATTGGTAGAAAGAAAAAGTTATATGACAGCTGAATTATTTTACATGTTGTACAATGCATGAAAAGAAATAGAAATACATGAATTAAATGTTATTTTCTTTACACTAGTCTACATTTAGCTTCTTTTTTACATTTTCCAAAACACTCCATGTCAAATCCACTACAAATGGCCATATGACAATGTTATCAATGCCGAAAAGAAATATATTTTGAGTTTTTCTGTATGTTATGTAACCCAAATGTTTATGAAACTCTTATATTTGACATGGCAGGTTTATATTTTTGTTCAGTGTAGGTTTCAAAATGTAATTTCTTGCATACCCATCTAAAAGAAGACGCCACCTAGATTAATAAATAGTTAAAAGTCCTGCTTTGCATAATTACTGTGTGGATGATTATGTTTTAGCTTTGAAAGTTTTTTTTAGCTCTAATTGAGGCAGAGAGTAGCTTCTTATTTTTTAAATGAAGACGGATTTAGCTGGTCCAATGGTCATTTGTACAGTGGTCAGATTCTCCCATTATCTCTATAAGATCTTGGCTAAACCATTACACAACTCTGGATAGAAATAATGGTTATAACATTGCAGGAGTCTCTAACAATAATGCCAGAGGAAATATGTGTTGTAATCAAAACTAAAGGTAGTCCAAGAAAAAAAATGGAGTGTGTGACGTTTTTGGATAGACTGTGTGTTGAGCCCTGAATTATCAACAGCAATGTCACTCTGGAGATCTAATTGGTCCACCTGTTCCCTGCAAATCACTTTGATCTCAGATTCCAGGCTTACTGGTTATTTTTGGAGTTTAATAATAGAGCCAGATCACGTTTCATTTTTTTCTGTCGCTGTAAAATCTTTCACCCTTCTCTTCTAAACTGTTACTCTTTTGCCCTTTTAGGATGAAGAATAGCACAGGGGTTAAAATTTGAAGTAATGTATTACTTATCTTAGATGGTCAGTTTTAATAATTTGGTATTGTAAACTCAAATATTAAAGTAAGGCCAATTTAGATTGCTTACATGTTTGTACTGTGCATCCTATTCCTTGCATCTTTATTTTGGCTCTTTTGTATACTATCGTTAATTTGTCATGAAGTTTAGGTTGACGGTGTGAACTGATCCTGACTCTCTGTCAGTGCCTGTTACTGTGATTTCTGTGAAGCCAAACTTAATTTCTAGGTTAATCAAACGGTCCATTCCAAGTGTAGTGTCAGGTGACTCAACAACAAATGAGCCAATTTTTTCCACTTTTGGCTCATCTACATACATGGGATTTGTTTTCTTTGTGCGATAAAATGCAACAAATATTTGCGTTTGGACTCTTTCTGTAGGATAAATGGAGTACTCTCTGGTTTCATTCCAACCAACATCCTCATCAATTTCAACCAGTTTTCTAAAAATGTTGCTACACGAGTCCCCCTCTTTGTTTGTGTATTTCTTGTCCTCTCTGTGCCTTAAATCTCTCTGAGAGACCTACTCCATAAGTATAGGCACTTTTTCTTGATGCCACTGCACCTTGGTTTCTTGCAAACTCTACAGCTCCCTTCAAAATGGCTTCTTGGGGCCTAAATGGACACAAAACTTTGCAGTTGTCAATAAACGCATCAGTAATGTATCTCCGTAGAATCTGACTTTCAGCAAAACCTCCCACTAACAGAATGTATTTAATGCTGTGGGTTTTGTCAAAGATTCCTCTGAGACTCATAGTGATGCTCCACAGACTCTCTTCAAAGAAAGATCTCAGTTTCTGCTTTGATATTTTGATTACTCCATCATCATAAGATGCTCCTTGAACTCGTTTAAAATATTTTTCCATGTCTTGTTTTTTCTCAGCCATCCTTCCTAGGTTCAGTGGACAGATGATTTCCATATCTTCATCTTTTCTCTTGAAAAGTGTGAAGTCATATATAATTCTTTGAACATCACTGGGATATTTTTCTTCATACTCATCCCAGATTTCAGGAGAGAATATGTCTCTGAGGAACTCTCTAAATTTTCTGTCCACAGTTTGTCCTCCCATATCATTTCCTGAAGCTTTGTGCAGCTCCTTCAGAAATCCTCCTTCAAGGACTTCATGAACAGTGATGTCAATGGTTCTCTCTGAAACACACAAAATGGAAGTTGTTAAGAGAGGAAAAATTCTTGAACTTTAAAAACCTTTTGACTCGTTATATCCTC